CATGATCTGATATGGTATTGTGTGTTTTTTCTTTTCGGGGGAATAATTGATAATTTGGGGGAACATAATTATAAACCGGCAAGATTTGGAATGGAGATTAATGATCCCTTAGATTTTGGCTCATCCCCCTCTTATTACCATCACTTATCTCTTCTCCCCTTATCTTAATCCCCCGGGCCCCACCCTCCGCCACCGCTTTTGTCTCTCTTAAACCTCTCCTCTCTTCCCATTATTGTCGGATTTCAACCTCTTTTCTTTTAATTCATAAATTATGCATATATATGCACCCTCGTCGACGTCGTATCGTTGCTGCTTTATTTCTTCTCAATTTGCCCAGTGAATAAGAACCTGCTATAATTTCGAAGCCGGCGAAGCTTCAATTTATATGCAGCGGATGAATCGTTGACCACAAAACAGTTGATCGATGTGGGATTTCGTAGGGCAATGGGAGAATAAACTCGTACACATGGGTCTGTATTAGTGTCTGGAATAACAACTGTGACCTCGTCCTTATCCCAATATCCCATGTTGGGCTTGTCAAAAAGACTCCATGATCACCCATTCATATCATAGCATCCACCCCATTTTTACACCCCCCTGATTGAAGAAGTTAAACACACCTAATCAGTCCCATCTTCACTAGACGACAAAGCAAGACACACTGTGATGTGTACAGTAGAGACTGTAATAATTCTCAAAAAAGCTCTCGAGAAATCAGGGAGTTTGTGCTCAGTTAATGATGTTAGTCGCGACATTCAAAATTTTCCTGCATCATGATATGGGGAAAGAAAGTTAGCAGCTTTTGGGCGCCAGGTAATTACGTTTATAAAATCTCGAGGACAGGGTAATTTTATTTTCATAATTTATAGTTTGAACACGTAAAAGTTAATCCCAAAATGTTCGAATATGAAAAAATGGCAAAAGCCAACAACAAATAAAAGACATTGCAGTTTCATCTTGACTTTTAAGCCTCGAAAAATTCTTCTTCCTTTTTCTTTGTCAAAAAAATTAGCCATTGGGACATAGCTTTTCACGAATTAGGTGTCAATGCAAGTTGCAGGTCATTTTCGGGTTGTTTAATGCAACTGAGATGCGTCTGTGTAGATGGTGGTTACGACGTCAACTTCATGGTCTGGTTGGGTCAGGACATGTCTGTCACTTGCAGAAACCACTTCACACTCTTGGGCCTCCATGCTTCTTCCTGCTTCAAACCCATATTCCTGCCTCCTCCTCCTTCATCCTTTCTCCTCCAAGCTGATCATTCCCCCCAACCCCCTTTCGCTTAACCCAATAAACTAATATTTGCTGTCACAACCTCTTTCCCTCGCTTGTGTCCTTCAAAACGATTTTCACTCTGGTGGTGAATTGACCAGGGTCAGAGGCAAACTTTTCAATATGTTTACAGACACAAATATATATCCTTTCTCCTTCGTCGTTGTCATTATTATCATCAATGGTCAAATCGATGCATGATTCCATTGTCTGTACGAAAAAGTCTAGATTTACAAAAAAATTGAGAGAGATTGCATGAAAGACAATTTGCAAGAGCCAGAAGATTAAGGCGTAAAAGAAACAAAACTTGGGTACGGTCTGATTGCTGAACTTTAACTATGCTAAGGCTTAAGGGATAGCTCAAATCATAGAAATTCAACTGTACTTCTTTTTTCTTCTTAAATATATATTATCAAAAAAGCAGGGTTTAGAGACAGAATTTTATACCAGCTATTCCTTTTGTCACCATATGGTCAAATCAACACCACCATTGTTGATGGTGATTTGATTGGTTTAATTTGTATTCTTATGTTTAGAGGGAAACACACAACAGTTGGTAATATGTCTTGTCCGTCTGTGTGAGTACTAGGCGGAAGAAAACAAGAATATAAAGGCGAATCGAAATGCAATCAGTGTTGGTTTGAAATGGATTGAGAGTGAAGATTGGGAATAAGAAACATTAGGAGGGGTTATTAAAATAAGTAATTTGCATGGGAGGAGTGGTGTGGATCTAGTTACAGTACTCATCATTTTGATAAGCACTTTAATCTTATCAGATCTAGATTGTCTATATCTGATTTAAGTAATCCAGATTTAAAGTTTTTAGTTAATTATTTTTAAATAGAAAAAATTATTTTTTTGAAAAAATGATAATTAAGACATTATCTTTATTTTAGATTATATAATTAAAATAATTATTTTGAATAAATAAAAATAAAAAAGAAATCAAATCTAAACTTTTTAAATAAGATATGAATAATCAATATATAATAAATTTAAGATGGAGGTGGGGAGGCAAGAGTGCCATGGGTGGGTCGCAGGGCTGTGAAGAAAATTGGCACAAAAATAATCCAAAGTTTGACGGCATCGCCTTATCGGGACAAAACATGTTCCTCATTCTCACCATCTCGCTCCCACCTTCCTCCCACGCTTAGCCTGTGAAGAATTTTAGTCCAGTTCCAAATACAAAAGTCAGAATGGATTTTATTTTGATTTTAAATACAAGATTTCTTTGGCCATAATAAATAAATGTAAGATTTTAATCTATTTTATCTCTCAGATTTATTTATTTTCTCCTTAAAAGCATCTATGTTTTATTGTGCTGCACATAATAAGTAAGTTTCTATGAAAGGGCAGTTATAATGCACTTGATTAACAATAATATTTGGAGAAACTAATACATATTTATTACATATAACTAATTTAATTAATTTTTTTAATATTTATAAATTAGTCATGTAACTCTTAGATTAATAATTTTGTACCAACTTTCTCATAATGCATTTCTTATTTTAATAAAATATATCTTGCTCCGTGATAATGAAAATTAAATTTTCATACTATCGCATATATAATGAGTTCCACGGATATATTTATAGTTGGATAGAGACGTGTACAACAAAATACATGACAGAGTAACCGTAGACAAGCTTTAGCTGAACAGTTAAAGAACAGTCATAACATAATTCCTACTTGCAGGTAAATCTCTAATCTACGGATTACTGATATTAATCTTCTTTGACAGATTTCTCATTTTCAGTGCTGGAATCCGCTTCACATGTGTTGTTGTCAGGCTTCCATAGTCCGTACTTGGCAACAACTTCCCTCCACTCCCTCTGCTCCGACAGAGACTCGTGTCTTGACAGGTACCTTTTAAGCTCAATCCGCAGGTTCCTCATCGGCTACCACCCAACATGTCAAATACTCAAATTACATGTCAGATGCACACAGACAATTACCAATTAACTAACTTGATAGAGAAACATAATTACGAGAAACCGCAAAGCAAACCTCAGCCTGGGATGCAATGGCAAGCCTAAAAAAATCAATGGCCACGAAGTGCTTGCCCACTGACTCAGCCAATTTGATTTGTGCAATCCAATACGACGATGTCTCCAGCCTATCAAAACGGCATTTGCTACAACGCAGGGCGCTGTAGAATGGTGTGGCCGACAATTTAGACTTGGTGGTAGTGGTGGTTCTGAAATGTGACACCACCGGAGTTTGTGGTTCCTCATTGTCCTTCTCCTCTGACTTATCTGATGTTTTTAGTGTCTGTCGATTTAGGAATGCCTCATCTTTCTTGTTCGTGCCGGTGTTGGCATTTTCTCGGAATTCTTTCTCACTGGCCTCCGTTCCAAGTTCTTTGGTGGTATCAACAACTGAAGCCGGAGTCGATTTGGGTTGCTTCTGGGCAACTACATCTTTGGGCTTGTTAATAAACTTATCTGTTGAAGGTCTTGTTGGGATGTTTGTGCTTCTGGCTGCACCGAAGACCCGCTTTTGCCTACAAGTGAAAACCGACTCAGAGAAAATTATTTAAGGGGAAAAAAGCTTAGTTATTTGGAAATGGAAAAAGTCGTGGAATAGAAGTTCACCTGCAAATTTTGGAGGCTTGAATGAGCTTTGGGTTAGTTTGAGGTTTTGAGCTATTGGTTTTATCTGTTACGAGAAAGGAATATCTGCATTAGTAACTGATTGATATTCAAGCAAACCCGGGGATGAAGAGATTTACATGATAAAATGGGCATTAATACCTGCGAAAGTGGAGGCATTATGATCCATCATCCTTGGAAAGGAATCGCCAGAGGCCTGTGCCTGGAGAAGATTGGTTTCTGAGATTGTGGATTCGTAGACTGATGCTTGAAGGCCGTAACCGACTAACCGCTGTGAAAAAAGAGCGGGAACAGGTTTTCACCTAGGTTGTTTCTACTGGGCTCTTACGGCCCGTTAAAACATACAGGGCTCTCAAGTGGGCCGGGATTTTGCGGAACAAGAAATATATACAAGCCCATAAAATATAACATCTCTCGGTTCTCATTGTCACTGTTTTATGCAAATTAATTAATAATCCATTCGCACAAGATCCTCATCCTGCGGGGTTTCAGTAGTAGTACCACAGGATTCTCATCCCAGAAGTAAGCTGCTGTCTGTTTAGTTTGTAAACTCAAGCTTGGCTTGCCTTGATTTTAAAATTAAAAGAAAAAGCAAGATAATGTTGCTCATATTTTGAACACTTAAATCGTGGTCACTGTACGCATCCCTCCAACGATTTTAACTGCCTGGCCGCATATATTATATTCAACATCATATCACGTCGACAAATGCATCATTTTAATAAAATTAAATAAAATCATATCACAAGTGGAGAAAATTCCATGGTTTATGCATCGGTTTAATCAGTTTGCTGACAACAATTAAATGATTTGACACACCAATTGCGTGACGACGTGAAGAATATCTGAGATGGTAATGATCGATCGGTTTAATACAGGGAATAAATTAAATCTGGTTCAGCAGGTAAAATTTCCAAAAAGAAGAAAAATTACGTCTGGCTCATGAAGAAACTAGTAATATGCCCGTGTCTGTCCGTTTCTCCCTTCCGGCGTTGATACTGAGCGTGTGACTCTTTCACTCACAGCACATATATTGTGGGATTTCCTTGGCGTCTGCCATTCAAATTCTTGTGTATCTCTTTTGTGAGCCAAAAAGGAAAGAAAGGAGGGGAAATGGTGGGAGTAAGCGGAGGAAGAAACTTGGAGGAAACCCCAACATGGGCCGTCGCTCTTGTTTGCTTTGTCTTGATCCTGATATCCATCATCATCGAACACATCCTCCATCTCATCGGAAAGGTACGTATAACAGTAATATCAATATGTTTGCCACTACTCAATTTCCTGATCTCTTTCTCGCGTGAGAGCAGTGGTTGAAGAAGAAGCACAAGAGCGACCTGTACGAGTCGCTGGAAAAGATTAAATCAGGTCTGAGCTAAAGTTTAAGCAAGAGATTAGTGATGAGGTCTTAAGCAGAGATAATGATATTTAGGGTGTGTTTGGATGAAACCAAACCGTGGTTTGGAAAAGTGATTCTGGAGAATAGATTCTGGGGAAAATAGATTCTGTGAAGAATAGATTTTGTAAAAAAGTGATTCTGAGAAGTGAGAGTGTTTGGATAGTTGTTATCAGAAGCACTTTTTATATATACAAATTACTAAAAAAAAGACATAAGTTTATATGATAATTACAGAAAAAATAGATTTTATGATATATTTTAATTTGAATGAATAAAATTGTTAATAATATGTTTTTACCAACATAATTAATAATACATAAGATAATATAATTAATAAATAATTAATGTGTATATATATTTATAAAATATAAGATTAAATATATTTATAAAAAAATATGTTTATAAAAAAAATAACAAGATACATATCATATAGGCCCTCACACTCTCCCTTTTTTTTCCAAAAGCAAAAAAATTTTGCTTTTTCCAAAACCATGGTTTTGGTTTTTGGAGGGGATGTTTGGGTAGATTATTCCCCAGACCATGGTTTGGGGTGTAACCCAAACACACCCTTAATTGATTTTTTGGCGGGAGGTGGTTGCAGAGCTTATGTTGCTGGGATTCATATCGTTGTTGCTAACGGTAGGACAAGATCCAATATCAAGAATATGCGTATCAGAACAAGTTGCAGGGACGTGGCACCCTTGCAGTAAGAGAGAAGAAGTGATGATGCATGAAGTTGGCCGGACCGGCGCTGTCAATCCCCGACGTGTTTTAGCCGCCGGAGGAAGTGACAAATGCACAGCCCAGGTTCGTGTGCAAACTTGTTTCTATCCAGGCGTACTATATGTGATTCATTTTATGATTTTCTGAGAAAACGAAGGTGAGATACATGCGTTGGGATGATAGTATTAAAAATATGCAGGGTAAAGTGCCGCTAGTGTCACCGGAGGGTATTCATCAGCTTCATATATTTATATTCGTGTGGGCTGGTTTTCATGTCCTTTGCTGCATACTCACACTGGCTCTGGCCAGAGTGAAGGTAAGAAGCCACCTACTTTCTTATGTTCTACCATTACCTCACTGCCTCCAAGTCTTTTGATTTCTTGAAATGCAAAAATTGTTGGGTTATACGTACGTATAAATAGATGAGAAGTTGGAAGCGATGGGAAGAAGAAACAAGAACATCTGAGTACCAATCCTCACACGGTTAGATCTTTTTCATGTGTGTATGAACAAATAAGAAAATTTTGTCTGTTATTCTTATATATATAGACACACACACGCATCTTGGTGCGCGTGACAGATCCTGAGAGATTCAGATTCGCAAGAGAAACATCTTTTGGGAGAAGGCACCTGAGTTTCTGGACACAAACTCCAGTTCCCATTTGGATTGTAAGTGAGCCAATATGCACTCTTACTAATTCATCTCGATATATAAAGGTCTCCAGGACCTGCGTCTTGAGCGTTCACTGAACTCTCTTCATTTTCAGGTTTGTTTTTTCAGGCAGTTTGTGAGGTCAGTTCCTAAAGTGGATTACTTGGCCTTGAGACATGGCTTTATCATGGTATTTTCCCGCCAGTTACTAATTTTGTTTCTCATGCATGCATGTTTGATTTGGAAGTTGACAGTATTATTGGATAATGGTGATTAACTTAGGCACATTTGGCCCCTCAAAATCAAGAGAAGTTCGATTTCAGGAAATATATAGGCAGATCATTGGAAGAGGATTTTAAGTTCGTCGTGGGACTCAGGTTTGTGCTTTATTAGTCCTCTCTGATATGATTATTTGAATTAGTCCTCCACAAATGAACAACTTTGCTGCAATTAACTGCTTCGCTTCTAATTTCCAGTCCTCCATTCTGGTTTTTCGCCGCGTTCTTTCTTCTGTTTAACACTCACGGTGAGTCAATAAATCATCAACCTCACAAAATACAGATGCTCTGTTCTTATTTGTTGATGCATTTCCCATAGAAAAGGAAAGAGATCAATATGTATTTGATTTGTGAATGGGCAGGATGGTACTCTTACCTATGGTTTCCATTTATCCCTCTGATTGTAAGCACAAGTCCTTGATCAATATGATCATTGCTAGTTCTTTGGGTCCAAGCAGTAATGAATGGCGATAATAATTATGTGTTTCGCAATTAATGTGCGTCCAGATCATTCTAGTGGTAGGAACAAAGCTGCAGGTGATCATAACAAAAATGGCTCAGGGAATTCAACAAAAAGGAGAAGTTGTGAAGGGAGAGCCGGTGGTAGAGCCTGGAGATGACCTCTTCTGGTTTAAGCGACCCCGCCTCATTCTGTATCTCATTAATTTTGTGCTCTTTCAGGTATATTCCCAAATAACCAGAAAAGTTGATGAAATTCTACTCATAACATTATTCTCTCTCTCAATACTTTACTGGTAACCTTGACTGGTGAATTGATCATCATCTCAAGTGTTTCTTTTCCTCATAACAGAACGCTTTCCAGCTTGCTTTCTTTGCGTGGACCGTGGTTAGTCCTCGAAAATCGAAATAGCCATTGATTCCGCAAATTGCTTCTCCACCCGTTTGTTTCTGCAAGACTTGATGCATTCATATTATTGTTGCAGTGTCAATTCGGTCTCAAGTCTTGTTTCAATTCGCAAACGATGGATGTGGTGATAAGAATCTCGATGGGGTGAGTGATCAGCCTCACGGTATTTCCTTTCTGAATCCAAATGAATAAATTGCAGGGATTAGAAATGAATGCTTGTGGTGTGCAGGGTGTTTGTTCAAATCCTGTGCAGCTACGTGACGCTTCCTCTCTACGCTCTGGTCACACAGGTACTAATAATCAATCAACAATCTGTGTAAATAATGAAGTCAAAATCCACGAATATAGTCTATGACTGTTGAATGAAACAGATGGGTTCAACCATGAGGCCGACGATATTCGACGAGAAAATAGCAATGGCAATAAGGAGCTGGCATATGAATGCGAAGCAGCAGGTCAGACGGAACAGGGGATCGGCGTCGGTGACTCCGTTGATAAGCAGACCTACGAGTCCCAGCAACAGGATACATCATCACCGTACCCAAGGGGATTCCTCTTCCTCGCAGCATAGCAGCAGTGAAGATGGTTCTTCATTGTATCGACAAGACCTGGAAATCGGTTGCTTGGGCCATCATGTCGGGGACTCACAATGACTACTCTGTTTTTCTACTCCATCCCAGACATTAAATTCATTCATATTGGAAATGGACGCACTTCATCAGCCTCCGTTTGATTATTTCGTGGACTATGTGTTCATTAAATTCTTTCTGAGTTCCATTATATACTGTTTTTTGCTCCCACACAAGTAGCGTACATTGTTTTTAGCTTTCAATAGCTAGCAAGTTGCCCTGTACACAAGATCCCTTCTTCTCTTGCCTTCCTTCTTATATATCCACCTTATTTTGATTTACAGATATTGGTTGAGCGGTGTTTTAAATATTACGGCTCAGTTCAATAACTTCCCCTGGAATTCTAGAGTATTGTTATTACCTTGGTAAAAAGGAATATCATCACTATGATAAAATATGGTTAGGGGGGAAACACTATCTTCAACGTTTCCACGGTCTAGGATGACATAGCATATTATAATATTCTAGTTTTTCTATTTTAAGATATACTACTTCCGGTTTTATATAAAATTTTATTTATAGTCTATAAACAAAATCTTATAATTCTAATTTTTTTATTTTAGGATACTATTTCTGATTTTAATTATAAGACTTTATCTATAATTTATAAATAATGTCTTATAAATAAAACTAGAAGTAGTATAACTTTTAATTTTTTTTTTTAAATTTCAACGATAGAGGCTGGTTAGTAGTTGGTAATCCAACTCCAGACCTAATGTCACCAAGGACACATCTTGTGTCCAGTCTTAGGCCAACTTTTACTTTTTTTTTTAGATTAATATAATTTTGGGTTAAGGTGTGCCCAGCACCCTGCATTATTTATCCAGATGCATTCAGTGACCTAAAATAATTTTGAGTACATCCAGTGTCCTAAACTAATTAAAATGGTGTGTCAATATCTCAATCTAACAGAAATGTTATGTTTAACCGTTACTTTCCTGACTTAGCTTAAAGTTGACCCCAAATATTCTACATGGTAGACACATGGGCACCCGATGTGTATTATTCTTACTCAAAAGTCAATTTATTTAGAAGAAGAGGAAGGAAATAAATTCAATTTTGAGTAAGAATAATATACATCAAATGTCCATATGTCTACCATCTAGAATATCTGGGGTTAACTTTAAACTGAGTCAGGAAAGTAATGATAAAACATAACATTTTTGTTAGCTTGAGATATGGACGCACCATTTTAATTAGTTTAGGACACTGAATGCACCCAAAATTATTTTAGGCCACTGGACGCACCTGGGTAAATAGTTCGGGGTGTTGGGCGCACCTTAACCCTATACTTTTTAGTGTTTTAAATTTAAATTTATTTTGATTTTAGGTTTTTAAGATTCAAATAATAGATTTTAATTACTCAAAAACAAAATAATTTATGTTTTTATCAAGTTATAGAGGCTAATATTTTAAATAAAAAAAATTTGGAAGATCAAAACTTATAATTTAAAATTTAATGGATCAACATTAAAATAAAAATAAATTTAAAGGAGAAAAATTGGATTAGTCCATATTTTCTTAAAGCTTTTTTAGATTCTAAAGGATTAAAAGTTGTCTAGATATTTTTAAAAAAAAATCATTACGAGGGTTCATTTTTTAATAACTAAACAAGATTAAGCCTTGCAACAAAAACAAAAAGATTAAGCCAGACTTAAACAAAAATATCCCATCCATGACGCTCAGTCTTTTTGTCCCCAGTCGATCGTCCGGGAGCTCTAGTTCCATCCATAGCCCCTGTTAGCTGCTTATAACACTCGCACCTAACCTTCTTGATCTCTCTGCTCGGCGACCATGGCGAGGGGTTCATCTCAATCTCAGTCTGCCAATTCCCAGACCACACGACCCGGAATCATGGCACCGCGTGGCTCCGCAGCTGCCACAGCCGGCATGCGCCGCCGCCGTCTTGGCGGTGGGGCTGGCGGAAGTGGCTCCGCTGTCGGAGGTGGCTCCGGTCCCTCCAACATGCTGAGATTCTACACCGACGACGCCCCTGGCTTGAAGATTTCGCCCACCGTTGTGCTTGTCATGAGCCTCTGCTTCATCGGCTTTGTCACCGCTCTCCACGTCTTCGGCAAGCTTTACCGTCGATCTGCCGGCCCAGTTTGATTGAAAATCCGACTACGTGGTGTCTGATCCTTAGGGTTTGGGGTTCTGATCCGTGCCGGAAGCTTAATTTTCAGTTCTTGACTTGGTCATCGAAACCTTCGTTTTCTTCGTTTCTTTGTAAATTATCCTGCCTTCTAGCTGTCAATTTTGTTAATGTTGAAACAGTGGGATCTCCTCATTTTTGAAGAAAGCCAGTTTTCTGCCATTCTGTGAAAATCGATCTGTTTCATCTTTTTCGTTTTGTTATACTAATAATCATTTTTATCACTAGTTGCTGTCTGTTCTGGCCATATATCCTTCTGGCCTGGCTATTCTTTTGTTAGAAAGTCATGCCATTGAATTCAAAATTACGAAGCTTACTGTTTTCCTGAAACCGGTGTACATGGCTGAAACGTTTGCTAACTTTCTTCACAAAAAGTTTAAGAAAAAGAAAGGACGCTAAACTTTAGTTTTGGTCATTTTTTCCCCGATCACTTTGAGTGTACGGGCGATGAGGTTTGTACTTGCTCGGAATGTATGTATACGCAAAATAATTAAAGGACGATTGGTGTTTTGGTAGCATGGAGAGTTAGCTTAATTCTGGGTGTGTGCCGAGATATTGATAGATAACTTGTGTTGATGGAACATTTTCTTGCAGAGTTACCTTATAATTTCACTTCTCTTTCATTGTGTTCCATATTTGTGAAGTTTGGAGACATTAGGAGAGGACAACCATGCGGCTTTGTTTTTCTCTGTTCTACCAATGCTCTGTTTCTCGCTCCCCCCCCCCCCTTTTTTCCTCCGAACGTAAGATGGTATTGGTAGGACTGAAGCAATCAACTTACCATGCTTGATGGGATGTTTTATCCGATTCCCTTTGTTAATCACACGGGGAAGATGACGCTCTTGTAAACTTCATATCAATCATCTTCTGGCTTTATGGTTTTATTTGGCAGAATATTAACGAAACAAATAATACAACACGTACACCCTCTAGGTTTGAGGATTATGCACTAGATATAGCATCCTGATAATGTGAATTCTAAGTGAGATGATGTGCAACTATAAGAATTGAGTACAATTTCAATTGACAAGTTTCCTAGTCCCCATCATGAATATATGGACGCTTTCGCATGAGATCATATCCACATGTTTCACGTACCAGAAATTGTAACTATGAACAAGGAAACGTAGAGTAACGATTAGTTTGCACCCTGAAAGTTGATCCTCTTTCATGTGAGTATCTTCCCGTGGAGTCCAATTTATTAGGTTCTTCCAAATTGATGGTAGGATCTGGTGGGATCTAATTGAGGATGCCATCTTGAGACCAATTTCGACTACAGCAGTACATGTCACTACTCAGCAGCGCCTTGCCAGTAAAATGATCTATTTTGTTCTCAATATGAAGGGCATTGTTAAAAGAAATGAGATTCTCGTATTGATTATCTTCAATAGATTTTGTACTCAAGTTGTCGAGGTAGCGGCGCACTGAACTGAGGTCGTCGCCTTTGCTGCCTTTAAAGCTCATACTTGACTTGTTACCTATGGGAAGTATAGGCTCGCCCACCAGAATGGAGGCTAAGATCCGATAGTCTTTGTATTGATAATCTGTGAAGATGTTAGTGTCAAGGTTTGTGTTTCCTGGGAATTGCTCGCAGCATGGAAGGTTTGCCTGCAAAATTGGTTCACAATGATGCTCCTGATTCTCACCAGAACTCTTCCATGAGCATCCTTTGTGTCGAACCCGACACAACACCCAGTCATCCAGCTGTGACAAGAAGAGGCATAGAACCATAAGGTATTGTTATTATTATTCACATTTTCGATATTAAAAACACTCCAATTTTATTAATTTGCGAACGCCCCTCTTCAACTTAGAAATTATCCTCCTAAAGTATCATCCTGCAGTATCTGGACTCTTTGTCTAGTTCCCTTTAATGCGATCGAGTTAGATATCATTTCAAAATTTTTCATTTGCAACTTGTTACTAGCTCATAACCTACAACAAAACGATACCAAATTTCATACCATACATTACTTTAACTGCATTTAAAAATTCCAATAATTAAACAAGTCTAACAATTGAAAAGAAGGAGCGTTAGTCAAGGGAGTTATATGACAATTGAAATAATCTGAAATCGGTGTATCAGACAAAGACTAAACTTGAGTTGTGAGCATCGATAGTTTTTGGATGAAAACGTGAGTAAATATTGACAAGTGATCCAAAGTTCAAGGACGTATTATTATTTAACGGTGAGAGAATGATCAAGGAACTTTTAGCATGCTAGAGATACTTAACTCGCATGGAGCCTTTAGACCTGGAAGGTTTGCTGGTTGTGTCAACTAATCTGTATTCATTCATAATCCAATCTGTCTTAGCCCCTCTGGGAGGGCGACCTGTGTAAAAAACCAGAGCTTTCTTCACTCCTATGCGCTTTGATCCGCAAGAGCCAAGTATAGGCCTGTCCGTACCAGTGGCCTTCCAATATCCTGAAGCCGCTGCTCTGTTTGGTCTTAATCCATTTGGGTACTTTCGGTCTCTAGGGCTAAAGAAATACCATTCATCCTCCCCAAAAAATGCCTTTTCTGCACATATCAAAGCAAAATATTCTGAGTTTCATCTTTTTCCCACCTATAGCAACAGAGAAGAAATGGTCATTTGAAAATAGTAAGCCAATAGAAAGAGTGGATGGTTAAGGAGAACAAACTGGGTAACTCCCATGGGTTGTACTTGTACAGATCAATTTCTGCAATAATCAATGCTGGAAGTGGACGAGACGTGATTTTATTTTGTAAGTAATGAATTATGAGTTCTTCATCAGAAGGATGGAACCTGAATCCTGGCGGAAACTTAGACCCACTTTGATATCCTCCTTCCATTGATCAAGAATTGATCAAAAACACCCTCTACTGTTAATACCAATTTAGGTGGGTGTAAGTGAAAGAAAGTAATGAGCCATCAGCATTATATAAGGTTAAAGTCTCGTGATCTGCATGTAAAGTTGAAGCCAAGAAGATGGAGGAAACTCCTGGTTTGGCTTTACTCAGTGAATTGACCTTTACCTACCTGCTAGCACTAGGTACAATAATCAACGTACTTTAAATAAAGAATTAGGAATTAAGAGTAATATTGATGCTATCGATTTGACATGTACTAGGTAATTATGTAAGTGTCACTTTCCCCCATATTCCAGCGCTCTCCCAAAAAAGCTGTGTCCAAAAGAAAACGGTAGTAAGTTTTGGATGATAGAAATTTATGCAGAAAGTGTTTTAGCTTTTAGGTTCTGTTTTTATCCTTGTTGTGCAAGTTGTAGAATCCTCCCCCGTCTGAACTTGTTTGTTTAGAAAATTAGAAATGCTACCACGGAATTTAACCCCGTCACGCTTTTGACCAAAAAAAAAAAACCCGTCACGCAGAAACCGTACGAGATTAATTGATATTTACATGTTAAATCTTGTATGTTTAGAATCACAGGAAGATGCTGCTTGAGGGTTTAGTGGCTTCATAGCATAGGGTTCAGCGCCAAGCCTCTGCACATGGAAAACTACGTTATTTGTCTCTTCAAAGGGACATAGTCATGCCAACCAAAAATATCAAAGCTGAAATGTCTCGGATTCCAATTCCTCGAAACTTCCTCAATTTGATTCCTACGGCTATTCATTCTGTATCAGTTTTATTTGTCCTCGTCGTCGTCTTTTATGAGCCAGTTATTAGCAATTACGATCCAGCAGCTTAATTACTCTCCAACACGAGATTCATCTCACACAGTCATTTCAGAACATCGTTCCTCATTACACATCTTGCAGAGTACGTAATTGCACATTTCACTCATCATGCAGAGCTTCCAAAGTCTGTGGAGCTGCAGCTTGGTTGCCTGTGTTCATTTTTAAAAAAAAAAAATGTTGATAAGGACATGCCCATAATTCATTCATATGTGCTGATCAGGAATCTTGCTACTGCAAATGGAGGAATTATAAAAACAACCTTGGAGAGTAGTGGTGTTAAGGTTTCAAACAAAAGTGGCGGATAAAACCCATGTTTTCAGTTTGTTTGGAAGCGGCGGAGAAAGTAGCTTTTCTTAGGAATTAATCAGTCAAAATTCGCAGACTTCGTTTGAGAAAACTTAGTTATGATCAATTGAGGTTGTCATGTTCTGGAGATGATGATTCGAATCCTAGGAGGATTCTATGCGCGGATTGATTACATGAAACCTTACCTAGTAATGTACTACCTCTATCCTAATTATAAGAGCTAGTTAACTAATTTGAGAAGATTAAAAATACAGGTTAAGTTAGTTATTTGTCATAAATAGATGTTGTCTTTCTAAAATATCCTTGCTAATCAGGTGTATTGGCTAAAACTACTATTACTAGAATGACTATCTCGAAAAAAAAAAGGTATAAATATGGGAAACAAAATGGATTGAGGTATTATATTTAGAACCAAAATAAAAGTCAAACAAGATCTTATATTAAAGACTAAAAGTAGTATATATAAAGTTGTTTGTAGTATATAGATGAGGTTTTATAATTATGCCCGGAGGTAGTATGTATATATATCCATACAAAATTTCACACGGCTTTAAGCTTTTTGCTTCCCCCCCCCCCCCCCCCAAAAGAGGGCTAGAGCCCAAATAAGAAAACACTAAATCATAGGGAATCAGATCCCATTATCCCAAAGACTCTTTGCAAACCAGCATCCTCGACTGTGGCGAACAAACATCCAATAAAGAAGTTCTAGACAATCCCTCTTTGGCTAAGAGGGTATTTAAGTAGAAACAAAACTATAATTTTAAAAGTACTTTTATAATATACAAAATAAATATGTGAAAGAGTTTTTTTTATTTGTAAAAAATTACTTTTTAAAAGTGACTATTAAGGAATCTAAACACCCTCTAAAGCATTTATGTGGATATGGTGATGAGTTTTTATAGCCAGAGGCAGCGTCTGACCAAATGTGGGCCCAACAAAATAAAAAAGGCCCAACCCATTGAGTGGATCGGCTGATAGCCTTCGTGGAGCATCTCGGGCATGCTAATGGGAAATCACGTCCTTGTTCTTTTAAAATCACAATCATAACAACTAACATCAGTTAGTCCAGTTAATAAGAAATCAGTTTATAATCTATAAATCTGTGAGTTTAAATCCCGCCACCTATATAAAAGTTTTATTGGTGGGTGATCTGTAAGTACCTTTATAAGTATTCTTTGAATTACACATTTGATAATCGCGTGATCAGAGGTGGGGAATAAAGTGTGATTCTAATTTAATAAAGAATAGTCAAGTTGAGTTCAGAAGATTTATCACGGCGTGTATACAGATCTTAAAGCTCACAAACCCCATGAATTTCTTAAATCTTAATCCAAAATCCCAACCTTTTATACCTTCAAGGCATGCTTCGCATATTGAGGTTTGTGTTTAGGATGGATTTTTTATTTCATGATTGCATATTTTAAAGGAATTTGAGAATTTATGATTTTAATGTAAATTTATTCGATTTGGGTTCTTAAAAATTTTGATTTTCTTCTGGACTAGTTTTTCTTAATTTCTTTTTAATTCTACTTAACAGGGTGGAAACACACACTTTTTTTTTTTGAGTGGAGACACACACGCATATATTTGCACGCACACATATCCTAAGGGACCGAAATAGGGGGTGGGTGTGTGAGATGGATGTGTACCACATAAGGGAGAAGGTAGTAAATTGTCCGAGTAAAAAACAGTGCGTATATAATATATATATATATATATATCCTTTTTCACTAATATAACTGTCATCTTTAATTAAATTAAATTCAAAATCGTTCCATTAATGCTGTTTAACGTAAAAATAATATTATAATAGCAACTCTTAAAATATATCAATTATTGTTGGCAATATACATATATACATATATATATATATCAATTATTACTTTTAACTGGGACCATACAAACAGAATTTTGATAGTCAAAATTTCAAAGCATATGCGTTATTACGATGAACTGAGGCAGGGCGAACCCACGTATATCTATGCTTGCGCAAGGTTTTTGGCCCCACTAACTCTACTTACTTCTTCCATATGTTTTGCTGTCACACACTTCCACTTAAATAGAAATAGTCAAATATATATTTTATTATTAATTAGTATTGACATTATATTTACAAATTTGAATTACTTGACCCTCTAACGTTAATTCCGCTTCCGCCGCCGAGTTATTGAAGCGGTGGTCAAAGTTCTATTAAATTCTTCCTCTAACACTATCCGTTTGGTTCGCAAGATTATTTTTATCATACAGGAATAATCTCATAATATTTGTCATCATAATATATATTTTGATGAAAATATTTTTTATTAAAAGATATGAAATAAATTCCATAATCATAAAATATTTTTTAACAGTTTAATTTGAATTAATTTTACAAACCGCAAAACGTGTTCGCTTTGTGTGTTCCCGCATGTAGAGGAAGCTGAGTGCTAAAAAGGCGAAGGATGTCTCCTTCTTCGTGGTCGCATCCTTCTGGTACGTACACTGTACACCCCCCGTAGGCACCGTACCATTTTATCTGCTTTCCACGTAATTCCCTCGTCAATTTCTACGTACCTGTTAGATTTTGCAATTTGCATGCACGTGAGCCTCCACTCATTTCTATTTTCAGATTTTAAACTTCAAAATAAATTCTTTTTGGAAAGTGACAGCTACAGATTTCAAAAAAAAGAAACGAAAAATTACAACTAGGCTGTTAAGACATTTTGGAAAGCTGATACAGTTTTATGTAGGGTTTTAAGTCGTCATATGCTCACATGGTTATGCAACTTGACTCAAGTGTGTGTGCCTTTAGTTTTCAGTATTGCCTGTTGAATTGTGAAAGATGCTGCAAATTTGAAAACTGCTGTCAAATCTTAGAAGTCAAGTACGTAGTTGCAAACTATTTAATCTTTCAAACAATATAGTCAATTTTCGATGTTCCCCATTAAAATCAGCAAGTGTGAATTGCAAATTTCTGATAAATCATTGTTAAAATCTGAGAAGCCAATTTGCAAATGAAGTTTGGCAAACGATTTTCTTTAGGGTAACTTCCTTATCTTGATTTGATTTTTATGACGTAGGGGTCTTTGCCCTATACATATATCCTAGAATGTTTTGAAGCCTCATTATATCTTAACATCTTAATCGAGAGAGAGAGAGAGAGAGAGTCACTATTTTCAATATCACTTCAATTATGTTCCCAAGATCAGAAATGTAGCTAGGGAAGCGAAGAATGGTTGTATCTTAAACTCATGGGACATCCATGATTAAAAAAACACTGCACTAATGCCCTTTGAGTGGAAGATAACAATACTGCACGCGTAAGTTGTTTGATACATTATACTCCTCCGATCTTTAATATATGATTTGATTGTTGAATTGATTTTGTTCCTAAATATAAAACATATTTATCATATTTATTAATTTTTTTCAAAGTACCCTTATGGATACTCCTTCAACCATAATCAAGTAAGTAAAAGAGAAAGGATATTAAAAAAGATGATTATGATATTTTAGAAAAAACATATTATATTTCTTATAATTAACTAATTTACTTAACTTCCTTAATCTAATCAAATTAGTTAAATAGGTATTATATTAAAAACCAGAAGAGTAGTTAATTTCTTCAAAGTCCAAAGCAATGTCAGATATGCTCATATATATTCTGTCCTGTGACTCACTTGATCCAGGTCTATACACACACACACACTAGTCTTGCTGATCACATGCACAGTACACATCTTGATTCTCAACCATTACTTTATATATATCAACCCGTATATGGCCTCACAATTGATAATTTATATCCAGCTTTAATTTATGCCATTGGACTGATGATGGAGTGGAAATTAAAGCAGCCTAGTTAAGCAGTTAGCAGCACAGTGCATTTTCTGGTCTAATTTCTATTTTCAAACGAGTCGAGGTACTTCGGCTATGACAGTGACATTTCCAACCTTGGCTTAATTAATACATCATCGAAATGAATAATACGATCAAGTCAATATTTGTGATCAGATATGCCTTCGATTCAGAATTTGACTTTAAAACCCCACCATATATACAGAGGGCGTAGATAATTAATGTGTCATTAATTATACGGTGGATAGTTACCGACATTTGTCCACACACACATATATACTAGTAATATATAGCTTAATTAATTATGAACGGATGGTTTTTCCATCTGAGGATCGAGCACTTGAAAAGATTTATGTACACACACACACACATGTTAGCTGAGCAGCGTAGCGTTTTCTGATTAAAGGAGGTAGGTGGGTGGGATATATATGATGAGCGAAACAAGCGTGTTAATAAGTAGAAAGGATGTGAAAAAGAAAACGTCTCTATCTGAAAAACTGGTTACCAGAAACGCAAAAGGAGAAGTGGGGGCATATACATACATAGAAGCCACTGTTTTAGACGAGAAAATTCTAAACGTTTGAACTGACTTTCCATTATGTGCCATGGAAACTGAATCTTCAAAGATCTGGGTACTGTTTTAATTTGTACATTCCACACTTCAACATCTATCTGAGCTAGCTAATAATTATGAATTTCTTGTCTGAGCTGAGGCCTCCTTCTTCTTCATTGCCTTGAATTCTTAATTAGTCAAATGATCGGAGTCCAAAATAAACACACTGCATAATGTTTATAAATACAGTCATTTTCTTTCAGATCATTCCTACGTGGACGTTCATTTTCAAGGGACTGTTAATCGTTTTATTAATCCAGACGTGACCACAACCTACGCCGTCCCCTAAATATGTTTAAAAAAAAAGCAACAAATTAACTGTTACCCGTATATACGTGTGTGTGCACGATAGGGAGTTAATTTTGAATTTGCTGTTGTAAAATGACAGCAACAGATTCGAATCATCAATATATTCTTTCCTAAATTGTGATCTAGTTCAAGTTAAACACATTTCTTCCAATATATAATGGATACAATATTGTTGACAGCTTGTAAATAATGTAATCTGCATGCTGTAAAACTATCTCATGATGCATATCTCGCGAGAGAGAGGAGTGGGGGGCCCGCTTGATGCATTTTCTAAACCTGGTGGGACCATGCATATACGGAGGATAGTATATGATACATATTATCCCTGACAACAGTGGAAAAGCGACTAGAGAGTACAGAGATCTGCTATTAGCAAGAGGATATGGCAAGGAACTAGGAAAGAAGAGCTCTGTAAGGCCTTCTTTTTTTGCGACAAAAAAAAAAAAAGAAGAGGAAGAAGAAAGGAGCGAGTCAACTCGGAGAGGGTGGGTCAGGTGCGTGGGCTAGTGTGGGAGGGTAACGTTTTATTGAATATGCAAAAGGAAGAGGGAGAATACTCAGAATAGAGTAGTGTTAGGGAGGGTGGTGCGGGTGGACACATGAAGCGGTAGCAGTCATCTCCTGTCTCAGTGTGGGCTCCCACTCCTACCCAGCCAGGCCTCACGGGCTCCCTCTTCTCCTTCTCTCTCCCCATACTTTCTCTTCATCACACAATCATGCCATAATCATTCTCATTAGCTGTCTCTAAAGCTCCCTCACTTTTTACTCTCCTTTTCTTTTGGCCCCTCTTTTTCGTTACTCCCTCAAAGATAACAATATGCGTGCATGAAAGTTAATATCCACCAATTGATCAATTACAGGTTGAAACCTTTCAAGGCGTGAGCTGGGTCTGTTTTGTAATTACCCCTGCGCCCTGTTCATTTACTAGCTCCTCGACTAGAATTACAGTGTTACTACTGGGCTATATATCCCTATTATATATATCCACAGGGAGGGAGGGAAGCGGGGGGAGAAAGAGAGAGAGCGAAAGTGAAAGAGAGAGAAAGAGGGAGGGAGAGAGACAGAATGGTCCAGCAGGGTCTACGGTTCACCGACTTCCACAGCAGCCGTGTTAGATAAGGAGAAGTGGGGAAGAGAGAGAGACAGAAATATTCTCCTCTCCGTTCTCTCCTTGAAATTTTGGATCGCATTTCATCATCAACCATAGCCTTCAAGTCAATCCTCTTGTGCTCTCCTCGCGTTTCACATGCTAACCAACTTTAATTTCCTCCCCCAGTTCATGATTCCCACTCAAAAATATCTCTTCCCTGCACCAAACACCAGCACTGGCAGCTCAATAAGGTTATTTGTTTGTTTTTTGCTTTTTTAAGAAAAATTATTTAGTGCCAACCAGCAGCCAGTTGCTAGTGCTTCTCCCCTTCAGCCTTCCTCAGCAGCGCTGTTTCAGTTCGCTACATACCTAGCTATTTCCACTTTGGCTCTTCAAGCTTCAGTTTCAAAACATGATGCCTGCAGATTCCCTTTCTGTTCCTTCCACCGTTAACACCTTCGTCGACCCAAATTCCAACCCTAACCCTAATTCAAATCCAGTCAAGAAAAGGAGAAATCTCCCCGGAACACCAGGCAAGTTCATCCCTTCAAATTTCTTATGTATGTGCATAATCCCTTTTCCGAGTTATTTTGATTTTGCTCTGTTGGATTTGCAAACCAGATCCAGATGCAGAAGTGATAGCACTATCGCCGAAGTCCCTCATGGCGACGAACCGCTTCGTGTGCGAAATCTGCAATAAGGGCTTCCAGAGAGACCAGAACTTGCAGCTGCACCGCCGCGGCCACAATCTTCCGTGGAAGCTCCGCCAGAGAACCAACAAAGAAGTGAGGAAGAAGGTTTATGTATGCCCTGAGAAGACCTGCGTGCACCACGATCCCTCCAGAGCCCTCGGAGACCTCACCGGGATCAAAAAACACTTCAGTAGAAAGCACGGGGAGAAAAAGTGGAAGTGCGAAAAATGCTCCAAGAAGTACGCGGTTCAATCCGATTGGAAAGCCCATAGCAAGATTTGTGGCACCAGAGAGTACAAATGTGACTGTGGCACCATTTTCTCCAGGTATAGTACAAGCCGAAACTCCCCTGAACTTGATGTTTATGATTCGATTATTCTCAAAGAATTTAATGTGATATTAAATATGTCCATTGCGTGAATTTAATGCTCATGCAGAATCGGAGGATTCGGGGAGACTACTTATTTTAACATAATTTTGAAAAAACAAACACACACACCAAGCACTATTTAGCTTGACAAAGCAAGATTTTGTTCACAAAGATTTTTCACTAGCTGAGACAAAACAAGGTGGTGATTTTTACATATGCTTGCATTAATAATAAGGGTTAACGAGTTTTTTAAAGAATAAAAAAGATAAACGCTTGAATTGCGAGCTTTTGAGGTTCGGGACAAACAAGAAAAAACACATTTCATGCTGTCGGTATATACTAATATTAAATAATGTCTGTTGTCCATGTATGCCACAAATCAGGAAGGACAGCTTCATAACTCACAGAGCTTTCTGTGACGCCTTGGCCGAAGAAAGTGCGCGAACAATAACGACAGTACCCTCAGCATTTACTAACATGAGAAGTGACCATTTGATGAGCATCAATCACCACCAAGCACCACGAATAATCCCTGAGATATTTCCAGGGTTCCATCCAGAATTTGGAGGTTCCGAAGGAGCATTGGGGAACTTTGGTCAGCTCAATCAACAGCTCAGCGTAGGAAGCAACAATTTGAATTCCCGCTTTCCGGATTTAGTTCAAGGGATGGACATGTTTGGGACATCAACGCATCAGACACAGTGGGTTAGCCGATACCCAGAAGCAGAATCATCAATTACAAGTGCCAACAACATGTGTGTGTCTGGAATGGTGCCACATGGACTGAAGCAAGAACCAGAAGAAAACAAAGTAGAGTTGTCGCATAGCATAGGCGCTCTGTACTCCTGTCATCAGATTCAGAACCCACAAGCTGGAGGAGCAAGTCACATGTCAGCCACTGCACTCTTACAGAAAGCGGCACAGATAGGATCTACGACCCCCAACAATGTCAACACATCCTCCTTCAACTCTATCAACCACTTTGGATTGATGGGCTCAGCTGTTCTAAACTCCTCCAACAACACTAACGTTGACGTTCACAAAATTTTCAAGCAAACGAATAACAAGAGTACCAGCCTTGGAGGTGGGTTTCTGCTAAACGACTCTAATCCAAGGTCGTTTGCGAGCACAGCCAAGGGTTTGCGTTCGAGCTCGAATGAAGAGGAGCTAGGTTTGACCAGAGACTTTCTGGGAGTTGGAGGGGAGTCGATGAGCGGACCCTTTCTGGAGCAAGAGTTAGCCAAGTTCAGTACAATGGGCTCAGCCTCAGCTTCAGCGCCTTGGACCTGAGCCAGTACGTTGCGCATCACTCATCGTAAGTTTCGACTTTCGACTAATGAAGCAGCTTAGGGAAACTAGTTAAGGTAGGTAAGTTGAGAGTTTGAGGCTGGAAGCAAGCTAGTCGACTCGACTCAGCGCCGGGCGCAGAGAGAAACAGGAGAAAGTGTAACTATTTTGGTTTGGTATACCTACCTGCAACTATATGATCATATCCCGAATTTTAATTAAGTACGCACGTACGACTCATCGGCTTATTAATTTTAGGGATACTTTAATCAAAAGCGAAATATGTTTACTCGAACGTGAAGGAGATGTAATAGATAGATATATAGAAGGTCCCGTGAAAGGCCAGGGGGGTGGGGGCCATTTGCATGTTGAAGAGACTAAACAATAAAAAAGGATGGGTCCAAAATTGAGAATCAGAGGGGTAAATTTTTTTTTGGGGGGGGGGGGCTCTCCATGCAGAAGCGCAGTTTTTAGTTTGACCACAAACCTAGCTCTTGCTCTAACGGTGATCATGATAGATTATAGCTTTTACAGCTCCGTACCTGACTAAGTCATGAGAGTTTTATTTATGCCTTCCTGTTCGTTTGTTGAGTGGCTTTTCTAGTTTGCATTCAACTGTGAGGACCGTGAACCACGATGAAGTATGGACCCTGTCCTTTTTAATAATTTTAATTTTAATTTGTTTTTATTTTTGTCGTGGTGTCTAGTCTATTCTGCGGAGTCAGCCATATCGACACATTCACGTGCTCAATATTTAGATCATTACAAAGTTTTTCTTTTTTGGTGATCTACAGTACCGTGCTCAACAACCAATCAGACGAAAGTATTGTTACTGTCTGTACTCAATGAGGTTAGTAATTTTTCACTTCTAATTTTATATGTACGTGTGAGATAAAATTTGATGTGATTGAGAGGTTTTTGGTTTTAAAGTCATGAAAATGAAATTAAGCGCGCATATGATCATAAACGGAAGCAAAATACTCGATCATTACTTTGATGCAGGGCTCATTTGAGTTGTCTTGCTTAAGTATTTATAAACATATTTTATGTAAGTCAAAATAGAATATTCTTACATACTTTGTGTTACCTAAATCACAATTAAAAAACTATTTATAAACCAAATCAAATAAGTCCGCAATTTGATTAGTCATTTTTCATGATATATGCTATGCCTCGTAAGAGTTAATACGTGCAGCTCGTGTCACAGATCCGTATATGGACTTAAAACGAACAGAAAATATATGGATGCTCAATTATGCACATGTGGGGTGTTTGGCAACACGAATAAACGTTTTTAAAAAAACACTTTTACATAAAACGAAACAATTTCTTCAACATATTTAATTCGTACCTATAAAAATACTTTTAAAACTATAATTTTATTTTTACCCAAACACTCTAACGATATACTTTAAGAAAAGCATAAGTATTATATTTTCACCAACAAGTAATCAACATCATTAACGTCTCAAAAGGGGTTAGCTACGTCTACATCACTATTTTTTTGGGAAAAAAAAAATCGGAACTCTTATTAATTACGCTATATATATATATATAAGGGAATCCAAAACTTAAACTGTGGGAAACGAGAGACACACAACCAGACCCATATATAATTACAATTGGGATATATGTAACGATAAAGACTGCAAAATAAGCGATTAATGGACATCACAGGCATTCAAGCTTCAAAAATGCATCGCGACCATTGAATCCAATTGAGGACAAAATAAAACAGTGCAAAAAACAAAAACAAAAAACTTTGAAACCCTTTAATTTGTCTGATTTTCCACTTTCATATCATGGCTGCAGCGAAAAAAGCCACTCCGAGGAGCTGAGTGAGCCCCATAAGTTGTCCGTCAAAACTGAAAGAACCCGCAGAAGTGTCATCCAAAACGGCGTCATCTTTATCATCACTATCTTTATCATCACCACTTACAGCATCTGATGAAGACGCCTTGTTTTTATCAGATTTGGAGAATCCCCTTTGGCCGCTGAAAGAGCCGACACCGGCGCCTCGGCCTTTGGAAGGACAACGTCAAGTGGAAGCAACACCCTGTCCACCTGATAAACGGCAAGTTTCATGTCCGTATAGGCCGTACCCGTAACGGAGGCATTAACGGGGCCAGTGATCATGCTGACCTGGCTCCCGCCGTAAGTGGTGACGTTTAACTGAAGCCCTGCGGGGTCATCGCCTGCCTGCACCTGAACGGGGTTGGTGAGTGTCGCAGTGAGGGAAGGAGATGAACGAAGAGATCGTGTGGAACTGTAGAAGCTCCACTTTTTGCCTGTCACTGAGAGAGTTCAAAGGCCTGCTTTTAGTCTGGAGAAGGCGGCGTCGTGGGGGGCGAAAATGGTCAATCCTCCGGATCCTGACGTCGAGAGCTGAGAGTTTAGCCGGTTGATCAATTGAGTAGTTTTGAGCGGATTAGGCCGGAGAATTTTGAAGCCCGAGTATTTGGACTATGTCAATGGTGGGACCTTTCGGTACAGTGACCGCGGGGGCCACATTGACGAAAGTCACGGGGACAACGGTGTTCAAGCCTCGCGCTGCAACTGGCACGGTAGCGGGAGCAGAGGGCAGGGATCGTGGCGGGAGCCTGAAATGGAGGCTGAACCGGTGAAAGCTGGGCTGAAGAGACGGTGGGGGTTATAAGTAGCAGGAAAACTGAGCCGGGGAAGTGGCGTTGCATCTGCATTTTATGTTGCAGACAGAGAGACTAGATTGCCAATAGTGAACAAGCAATGGTGTTTAACTTGTGCGCGTTTTGTTGTGATGGGAAAGAGAAGTGAACGCTTTTTTACTTGAGGGAGGGATAGATAGAGGACTGGTTGTTAGTTTGTTACAAGGTTTAGCTATAGTTTCGAAAACAAGCATAATAATCGTTGTAGATAAGAGGAGATAGGTAAGGAGGGGGGGAGGGAGGGTGTGATGAGCATATACACACATATACACTATCTGTGTTTAATATAAGAATTCATTTAACCTTTTATTTTAGTCATAAATATAATATTCTAATTCACTTTGTCTTTTAGATTTATTTATTTTTTTCATAGATAGTTTTTGATATAATAGTAGTTCTAGTCATCACATTTAATTAGCAGTGATATTTTAAAAAAATAACGCTTAGTTATTATAAACAACTAAATTAATTAGTTTTCTTAACCCACTTAAATTAGTCAACTAGTTCTTATATTATAAGAACTATAGGTAGCATATGAATTGGATGAATAGTATGTGGTGAAAGTGATGTAAGTGAAAAGTTGGAAGATACTGGGAGTATACATTAACGTCAATAATTAAGGAAGAGAGGAAAAGTAATTAATCAAATTGTTACGCCTCTGGTCCTATTTATAAGACAGAGAGAAAGTATTTTTGGTCCTATTTATAGGACACTGAGAGAAATTTTTTGTATGGATGTATAATTTTATCCCTAATTTATTATTATATTGACTTTGTTTATATGAGGTATAGTGTATATTAAACAGGGATAAAATTTAAAAATTATTAAATTTTAAATGAGAGTTGATGAAATTTAAGGAGGGTGGGGTAAAAAGACTGAAGAACCACGAATCCGGCTTCTGATACACTACGTACGCCTCATAATGAGCTTTCAGCGTGTCAATATCTCACCATTCCATTTTGTCAGGAATCACCTTCTTAATTCATTCTGTTTCGTTAATTATATATTAATGCCAGGCATCCTTATTACCATAGTGAGTCAGTGACCGTGTGCTGTAAGAATTTAATGCTCGTATTGGTGGGTAGTAAAGGTCGGGCCATCATGTTTCCTAAGTGGGCCTAAACAAAGTTTGAAAATTAATAATCGCCGGATCGGGAATGGGGATCAGGACGTAAGGAAGTTAGGACGTCGACATAATTTCAGCTCTCAAACTAAACAAATGGCACCAGAAAACACGACGGGGGCGTCTTATATCCTTTAATGCACTCTTACTCTGGTTTGCTATCATACAGCTCCCATTTTATGATGGTGGGCCCTTAATCCACAAATCTAGAAATACTACTATAGTAATAAACAATTATTTTAAATCATTATACATATTAGCTTGGTTTTAAATTATTTAAATTTAAATCACTTTGTCACTCCGATGATTAATACAAATAGTCAAAACGTGGCCGCGAAAATTTAACTTCCTACAGAAATGTATATATTACGCGCAAAAATAATTAAACATCAGATAGAGCCAAGGAATATCTATCACTAATAAATTAATACTCACTTGCTCCACCGTTTGTACGTAGTTTCATCACCTAAAATGAAGTTGCTGCATATGTTCTATTTTTCTTAATATTGTCCTAGACCTTTTCAACTCTAAGTTGTTTCTAAATATAGCTCATCTCGAAAATTCTGCCATAAATTATCTTAAACTAGCTAGAGAAGTAAAAGTGTAAAACATTCAACTAATATACGCATAGGTCCAAATTAAAGTTAAAAAAAAAAAGCTATAACAAATAAGTCCATAATAATACAAGATCTTGCTTTATATATGTATTGATGATTTTTTTATGTTTACTTGTATTTTCTTTTTATTAGCTATTCTATTATTTTATAGATTAATAGAAATAGAATATGTTATCACAATGATAATATCTTATTTTCTATGATATATTATTTATAAACTCTTGCAAGTTTTAAATAATTATGCATAAGCAACTTTTCTAAATTCTTTTACTCATGCACAAATATGGCATTTTAATTATTAAGACTGTTTTGGGATGCAGAATCTTTCTCATCTATGAGTGTGCCTTAAATTGGTCCCGTGAACGAGAGAGAATGTACACAGTGCATATTCATATTCACTTTCCTCAAGGAAAGGAAAGCAGTGGAATCTGAAGCATCTCCATTATTTATTCTAACTGCGGGCAATTAGCTTTAAACCTCCACTAAAATCATTAAAGATTGAAGCATTTTCTGCACGGATTCAAGCTTTTTATAATTAATAACTGCTCAGAGCAAAGAGATTCTTTTAACTTGAGATGATGGCCAAGTTAATTGTACGATAACGCAGTCAAACTTTTAATTATGATTCACTACGAAATGGAATCTAGCTCATGTTTGAGCAAATAATTGCTGATAACTTTTAGTACGAATTCACTGTAAAATTTAATGGATCAAAGAAAATATTTGCCAGCAAAGCATTATCAGAACCAAAAACAGCATACAACTTTTCAATGGAATCAAGAGACAATAAAGACAAACATGAAGATCTCATGCAAAGCATTAAATCCTAATCCACTCTATTAAACACACACCAGCATTCCCTTCTTTGGCATACTCCTTCACACGTGTTGATCAACATTAAATTACCCAATAGAATGTCTTATTTAAATTTATATGGCCAAGACTGCAACGGTAGCAACTCCAAGAGTGGACACCAGAGCTCCACACAATCCGATTCTGATAGCGCCAGAGTTCACTTCAGTGGGAACAACCTGCGAGGATTGCGTGGAATCTGTGGTAGGCTTCTCCTTCTCCGGCTTAGGGGCCTTGGCGACCGGACTAGCTTCAACAGTGTCTTTTGGGGGTGCTTCGGCTTTTGGCTTTGCTTTTGCTTTTGCAGGTGCAGGCGCTGGTGCCTTAGCAACCGCAAAGAAGTCCTGAGGGAGAAGAACTTTGCCTACCCTGTAAATATTCAGATGATTATCCGTATAGATGACTCCATTCAATGTGGTATTAACAACCCCAGTAGAAATGTTGACGTTCCCACCAAAACTGGTCACGTTTAGTTGTGCTTTGCTTGGGTTAGCACTGGCCAGGGTACGAACTGGGTTGGTGAGAGTGTCGAAGTTTGCTGTGGAGATATAGTCAGGCAGGATGTGGAATTGCAAAAGCTCGAGCTTTTGCTTGTCAGCGAGACTGTTGAGGAACCCAGGTTTGAGTGCTGAGAATGCACCGTCGTCTGGTGCGAAGATCGTGATGCCGCCTGATTTTGTAGTACCCAGCTGTGAACTGATTTGATCTACCAATTGGGTGGATTTCAGCAAACGGATAAAGACATTGTAGCCGTTGGCCTGCCTTAGGATTCCGACGATGTCGACAGAAGCTGACTGGGGTACTGCAGGAGTTGCCGCTGTGGGAGCGGCTGCAGGTGCTGCGGATTTTGCTGGGGCCGCCGCCGGAGATTGAGCAAGAGTGATCGCGGAACACAAGAAGGAAATTAGAAGAGCCAGTGACAAACAAGAGAGGGATTGCTTCATTGTCGTTGAGTCGAATGAAGGCTATGCGCTCTGTGGAAACTGATTGAGACTGTAATTGCAGTGAGTGCTTGGTGAGTTAGAGAGGAGGAGGAGAGGGGGTTTTATTGAGGGTGGGAGAGAGCGAATGATTGGTAGGTGAAAGGTTTAGTTGCAGAATCTGATAAGGTGATCTGAGAGCAGACATGGTGTAATTATATCTGAAAAGGTTAATTAAGGTGACGAAGCTGCATCGATGAAGATTGAAAGGGGCGAGATGGAGAAATTGGCTCTCGAGGCAGAGGAAACGGAGGGAGAGAGTGAGCACTATTAGATGTGTACATGCAAATAGGAAAAAAGGTACGTGATTAATTGTAAGCCTGTATTTCCTTTTCCACCAACAGCGTCAGGTGGTGCATCAATATACAAAACCAGGGATGGGTGGATCAAATGGTTTTTTCCTCTTACCTTAACAAGCAGGGCAAAGGAAGCACGCAGTATAGTATTTCGATTTTGAAGTGGGAAAAAAAAGTAATTTTTGGATGAGGTAAAGAGTCATATTCTTTAGAAATTAAAAGATTGTCGCGAGAACCTTCTACATATATGATAAACAACTAATTATAGAGATCAATTCGCACAGTGGAGAGCCCATATGCAGCTTTAATTTGCAAAGGACAGAAGCTTGCTTGAATTCATATGGAGAATGGCTTTGATTAATTAATTAGAAGCCATTAGTGATGAGCATTTTGAATCGTTTGTCAGAAAAAAATTGAGTCAATAGCTTATGCCTTACATTTCTGACAAATAAATTCAGCTGAAAGAAGAAAATTGTTATAATGGAGTATCAATTAGGATGATGGTAGATGGGAATATTCATCCAGAACCTTGGGAACTTGGAGAAAATGGGTGTCTAAACATTAGATCTTATCGGGGTTTTTGCTAACTGTTATCATTAATTAGGATCAATTAACCCATTTGAGGGCACCTACGTCATGGATGGGCCTTTAATTTGTTTTCTTTAAATACAAAAAGAATTTTAGATTTTACAAGAAACGTCTACTATGATCAAAAGGGCAGCGGCATAATTTTACCAATTGGACTACTTATATTTTATTGACAAGAATATTTTTATAAAAATAACTAGATAAGTTGAATTTCAAAAAGTCAAAATTAAAAGTCAGACATGACTCAAAACTTAATTAACAAAAGTTTTCGAACACAAATTTTTAATGCATGCAATAATAAATCTTCCTTTTATGATACGATGGTGGTCACTTTACCCTTAATTTCTTTTTTATTGTGATCGTACTTAGCTGAATATAGCATTATATCATTTTATTTCTTGAATCCTTTAACACCTGGATTAACACAAATTTGTAATAACTGCCTCTCCTTTCAGGTCTTTGACGAGGGACATTCTGATCTGGGATATATATATGTTCATATTCAATTGTGACACTTTTTAAATTTTCATGTATTCATTACCTCGTGAAATTTAAATTGTGCCTAGTTTAGCCTTTCCCTGTGTTCCAACTTCCAACTAGAGCTTGTAAACTACGAGTATTAAGCAAGGGAATTAATGTTTGATTTATACAATTTTGGTACCGCAAAAATTATCGAAAGAAAATAAATAACAATGTTTTAGAAACAAAAAAACAAAACCATACAGGGATTCACGTCTTCCTCAGACGCCAACGAATGCCCAGAATCGAAGAAAAAGAACACAAAAGTAAAACATTTAAAAAAAAAAAAAGAACCAAAAAGAATTGCGCTTGTTTGAAAAGTTCGATTGCATCTGCCAAATAGATCTCCTTCAACACAACATCGTCGCTCCAACAATCAAAGCCACTCCAAGAGACATCAATGTCGTCCCTTGAGTCCTGAATACACCAGCCGCCGCGGATTTTTGTTCAGTTGTGTCATCGGCGCCACCATCGTCTTCTGAGGGCTTCTCCTTATCAGTTTTAGGCGTCTTTGCCAGGCTAGCTGGAGCAGCCGCCGAGCAGACTTGGGCAGAACAAAGTCCAGAGGAAGAAGAACCTTGTCCAAACGATATATAGCAAGCTGCCTATCGGAGTATACTATGCCTTTAACGGTGGCATTCACCACCCCGGTCGTGATATTCACGCTGTCCCCGAACGTCGTCACGTTGAGCTGCAGCCTCGCGGGGTTATCCGTGCCCGCCAACGTCTGAACCGGGTTGTTGAGAGAATCGAAATTGTTGCTGGCAACGAAAACGGGAAGAATGTGGAACTGTAAAAGTTCGATCTTTTGGCCGTTGTTGAGGGAGTTGAGGAACCCTGCTTTGAGATCCGAGAAGGCGTCGTCGTCCGGGGCGAGGATGGTCAGGCCACCGGATTTTGCAGTTATGAGCTGTGAATTGACGTTGTTAATGATTTCCGTGGTCTTCAAGAGTCGGCCGAAAACAGTGAACACTTTGGCCTTTTGAGGATTCTTGTGATGTCGTCGGGGGTTGATTCAGAGGACGACTCCGGAGAATGAGGCAATGTGGGGACCAATGGCTTCGCCGGGGCGGGGGCCGGAGCCTTTGTGGCGGCGGGGGATGGTTTTTTCGGTGGGAGCTCAGGGGAAGCGGCAGGTGACTGGGCTAAAGTGGAGATGGAAGAGATGAAAAGGACGAGTAGTGAGAACAAGAAAAGAGCATTGCTGATCGTCATCGTGTGTGGTAGAAAAATGAAGGCTTAGAAGAATGAATATGAATGGAAGTGTTGTGTCCGACGAGGGGAAGGGACGTAGGTGAGGGGCTTTATAGAGGCTCTGAACAAAATGCAAGTTAGGTAAAATGCTTAAAGTAGGGAAACTAAATGGTTGGGTGATGTGAGGGCATATCTCATCATCTGCCCTGCCATGGAGATTAATCCCAGTTTAACCCCCCTTGGAAATTATACCGCTCTCATTTCTCAATCAGACCAGCTCTGTATCCATCAGATTCATCCTTTCAGTTCTTTCTTTACTTCACACTCATTACAAGAGGGAGTTATAATATCATTAGCTACAACTATTTTGATACGTCCTACAAATTAAATTGGGATATATGTCATCCACGCAACACAAAACTCATCAGCTTAATTAAGACTATACGTATTTATGATGATATATATATCCATAAATTTGACTAATTTTGCACCTTCCTTTAATTAGATACTGCAATCTACAAAAATGTCTACGGAAACGTAAGAAACTCGATGCAAAATATTATATTGCTGCAGTAAGTTCTGCATTTATTTAAGGTATACGTGTCAAGTCATATATATATGCGGCTAATTCATATAACAATAATGCATTAAGATGTGAGTGCGCGCGCGCACCAAGGCCTAAAATTCCTTTTAATACAACAAAATAAAATTGATATTATTTTACTGCTTTTGTTTCTATCTAAATATTAACTCAATCCATAAAATGATAGATCGCTCGTATAAAACATGTATCAATTTGAATTCTGTTAGGCTTCATGATATATGTTGCCTTTTTTTTTTTTTTTTAACAAACAATACTTAGACACATATTTAGGCAAGTTATACATTATTCATGTCTTGTAAATAATATATTTTTATACAGTTTGATGTATATGTACACACATTCTCTCATGGCACTAAGAAAACTAATTCGACAAAAAATGAACAGTATCCACTTTGATATCGATCAATGGTATGGATCTAAAGACTAAATTTAAAATATTTTTAATTAATCATATCATTTTTAATTTCATTATCTTTTTTCGATCGCTTATTGAGATGAAAATTTTAAATTTCTTTTGGATATAAAGAATTGGAGATATAATGTAAAGAAGATGAAAACCAGGACCTCAGATTTTGGGACCTTCAGCTGTTCATGGTAAAAACCAAATTATAAGTTTAAAATAATTTTATGATATATAAAGTGAGCATGTGAGAGAAGTTACATAAAAAACACTTTTTAAAATTATGTTTGTTAGAATCCAAACACCTCATAGTTGCTTCTTCTTCTTTTTTTCCCCTCTTTTCAGGATATTAAAAAAAATGAAAATTCACTTTCCGACAAAAAAGATAGAAGGTTTAGGTTGTTCCCCCCCCCCCCCTAACGGAAGTTTAGATTTCGAATCCATGGAAAAACTACTAGTTACGCCAAGTTGACTTGTACATGTGAAGCTTTTTTTTCCCCTCTAAATAATCACAGGAAATGCACAAAAACTATTACTAATAATTTTTCTTTCGGACATGTGTAACTGGGAAAAAAAAAATTAAACACTTCCGCATGCTTCACAGTGTAAAGTACCAAAAACAAGCGTAATTTTATAATCTCATAAAATGAAACGAAAGATTGAACAAAAAAGGAAGATTAACATGTTGTGGATTCAGATGTCCTCAAGCAACAATCTCCTACGCCAACAAATTCGAAAGCCCAGGAAAAATTTATAAATGTTTAGAACGCCGAAAATAGACGACAACGCCAACAAAGTTAATTGGGGAGCTTGCTTAAAAATAAATAATTAATTAATTAACGCGCTTGTTCGAGAAATTCAGTCGCATCGGATGGATCTTCTTCAACGCCACATTGCTGCTCCGACAACCAAAGCCATTCCAAGAGATACCAGCGCGCCTCCTTGGCTCCTAAACACACCACTCGCTCCGGATTTTCTCTGGCTTGTGTCATCCGCGCTATCATCGTCTTCTGATGGCTTCTCCTTATCAGTTTTAGGCGTTTTTGCCAGGGCTGCAGGAGCCGCCGCCGGAGCAGACTTGGGCAGAACAAAGTCCAGAGGAAGAAGAACCTTGTCCAAACGATATATAGCAAGCTGCCTATCGGAGTATACTATGCCTTTAACGGTGGCATCCACCACCCCGGTCGTGATATTCACGCTGTCCCCGAACGTCGTCACGTTGAGCTGCAGCCTCGCGGGGTTATCCGTGCCCGCCAACGTCTGAACCGGGTTGTTCAGAGAATCGAAATTGTTGCTGGCAACGAAAACGGGAAGAATGTGGAACTGTAAGAGTTCGATCTTTTGGCCGTTGTTGAGGGAGTTGAGGAACCCTGCTTTGAGATCCGAGAAGGCGTCGTCGTCCGGGGCGAGGATGGTCAGGCCACCGGACTTTGCAGTTATGAGCTGTGAATTGACGTTGTTAATGATTTCCGTGGTTTTCAAGAGGCGGCCAAAAACAGTGAACACTTTGGCCTTCTTGAGGATTCTTGTGATGTCGTCGGGGGTTGATTCAGAGGACGACTCTGGAGACTGAGGTAATGTGGGGACCAATGGCTTCGCCTGCGCCGGAGACGGAGCCTTTGTAGCTGCGGGGGATGGTTTTTTCGGTGGGGGTTTAGGGGAAGCGGCAGGTGACTGGGCTAAAGTGGAGATGGAAGAGATGAAAAAAATGAGTGAGACTAAGAAGATAGCTCGCTGGATCTTCATTCTTGCCGATAGAAATGGGAAGGCCTTGATGGTTGTACGTGAAAGTGTTGTGTGTTGATGATGAGGAAGAGCGATATGCATGAAGGGTTTTATAGAGGCTGATAGGTAAAAATGTTTAACTGAGAAGCTACATGGTTTGTGTTTTGTGAATAATGTAAGGTTTATGTCTCATCCGTCATGAAGATGAAGCGTCATTTGATTATCCAGTTATAGTTGGCATCTATCTACGTTCACAGTATCAATCCTACCAATCATGTAATATATCAAGATCTGTTGACGTTGATTTTTCTTTTTCTTATGTGATCGAAGTCATGGTGGAAGAGATGTAATATACACAAGGAATTTAAAATTTCTGCTTAGTTTTTCAGATGACCCATCTGATATATGATGCGAGACCAAATTGATTAATTAACTGGGTACGACATTTAAATATAGATTGATGATATGATTTTTCAAAAATATTTTCCTTATATACTTCGATGGACAAATTAAAGATCATGGTGTTTCTATATATTTGTTGTTTCTTTTCAAGATGTTTCATATTCCAAAATATGAACTTTCAGATTTTTGAGGTTAATGAAGATGAAAAACCATGCAAATTGTTCCTATCAATTTATTAGGTTGCAGAAATGGACATATGGGTTCTCAGTTCTGTCAATCTGGAGAGTTGATGAATTGGATTCATCGTTTTAGGACTGTTTTATTTACTTGTCAACACTCACAAGAGTAACAATCTTCCCATCACGTCGGGGGTATATATATTAGCTACGACGACAACGATGAACAATCTACCATGTGCACATCAGAAAGTAACATTCAGATTCTTTCCACCACGACAAATTATACCATTTTTTAGGTTTTAGTAAATTATTCAGACTTTCTTTAAAATAAAAATTATATTTTATTTTAGTTTTTTTTGTTTCTGTCAATTTAATTATGGCTGGAATATGCTCGTGCATATACACACTGCTTTCATTTTTTAATGTAAAAACTAATGACTAATTTAAGTAGATTTAAAAAGTTTGCTAAGTTAATTATTTATAATAAATTAAATAAGTATTATCTTTTTTAAAATATTCTTGTTAATCATGAGTATTAGCTAAAACTACCGTTTCATATAACATATATTATGTACAATTATTATAAGGATCATTTTAAAAAATGGATAAATATAAAAGACAAAGTGGATTGGAGTATTATATTTATAACTAGATTAAAAATTAAACTTAACTCTTATATTAAAAATCAGAAGTAGTATGTACTATTTTAATTGCATGTTCCCCCATCCCGCTGGGGGAATGCATGTTTGGGTCTTCCAGATTAGAGACATCAAATGAAACTTAAAATTTTCAAGTGAATAAAGTTATAAGCAGTAAGCATTCCTGGAAAGGGAGAAGGAGAATGATAGTTAAGTTTTAAAAAAAAAAAAATTTAGTGACAGTTTAAACTCAAGATATTTTAAAGAATCTTAGCTGAAGATCATCCACGCCTGTATGTGTGTGTAAGAGCGTTTAAATGTTAATGGCTATTCTTAGTAATTTGTAGATATATATAACTCACATGTTTAACTTTGCATTAAATTTAGGTATTTAATAGCTACCAAAAAATGATATGATAAGAGTAATTTTTTTTGGGCCAAATATGATATGACTAATACGAGTACGTGGTTTTCTCTTCTTCTTTGTTCCCCTGCTTTTACGTGGCTTTTGAAACTTTTAAGTTTATAGTATCAAAACATGAAAAAAAAAACAAAATAATACCTCTTAAATTTTAAAATCCAAATAAAGAATTAGTATAAAAATGTGTTATCGTTTGGTTTTTTTTTACATATAATAAATTGCTATAAAAGTGTAATAAATAAGATTAAATTGGAATTTTAAAATTGTGTTTTATTTATTTCTTTTTTTTACATTGTTCATTGGCCTCCATGAACTTTTTATTATTCCCTAAATATTCTACACATCCGTAAAAAAAAAAAATTAATATCAGAAAAATAAAGAATTAAATAGAGTAAAATTAAGCCAGACAACCATAATTTTATAAATTTAATGGTAAACAACAAAAGATACAAAGATTTGTTCAGTATATCTCTTAAATCACCTTTCTAGTTTTACGCCAACACATCGAAAACTCAAAAGAAAAATGAAAAACAAAATCAACAAATTTAACGAGCTTTGCTCAGAAAATGAAAATCCAAAACAATCACATCCTCGCCACGGCAACTAAAGCAGCAACTGCCGAGAACACAAACGTTGTTCCTCGAATGCTTTTTAAACTAACTGCATTAGAGCTGTGCTTTGCTGCCCTGACCTGACCATCATCTTCAGAAGATGAGGAGTCCTTATCAGCTTTTGGGGCTCCAGCAATTGCCGGCGCCGGCGCCGGCGGCTTAGGCTGAAAGAAGTCCAGAGGCAGAAGCACCTTGTCTACCTGATATATGGCAAGCTGTTTATCAGAGTACACGACGCCAGTGACTGTTGTGTTAACAACACCCGTAGAAATATTTACACTGTTTCCATATGCTGTGACGTTAAATTGCAGCCTGGTGGGGTTATCTCCTGCCAGTGTGCGAACTGGGTTGGTCAAAGAATCAAAATTTGAGCTCGAAACGTAACTGGGGAGAACGTGGAATTGCAAGAGTTCGATCTTCTGATTGTCATCCAAGGAATTGAGGAACCCTGCTTTGAGTTGTGAAAAAGCAGAATCAGCTGGTGCAAAAATGGTTAAGCCACCAGATTTGGTGGTTATGAGCTGGGAATTGATTTGGTTGATCAGTTGAGTGGTTTTGAGGAGGCGGATCAAGACACTGAAAGATTTGGCCTTCCTCAGAATTCTGATGATATCGTCAGTTGAAGAATCAGAAGAATCTGAAGAAGGTGACTGGGGTAATGTGGGCACAGATGGTGATGGCGATGCAGCCGGTGCTTGGGCTAATGTGGTGGTTGAATAGAAGGAGGAAATAAGCAAGAAGAGTAAGAGGGAGAAAGAAGGTTGCTTCATCTTCATGAGGGCAAGTGAAAGCTCTGTTTTTCTAAAGAATGAGAGCGATTATTACTATCGAGATCTACGATTGAAGTTCGAGGTGAGAAGGAGAAAGGAGAAGGGTGGTTTTATAGTGAGTGAACAATAGTTGGGTGAAAGGTTTAGTTATGAAATCAAGGCATGTGGTTGGGTTATGTGAGGGTGTATCTTATTATTTGTCATGGAGATTAAGTTGGCGCATCAGGCAGATAGGAAGTGATTAAGATTTCAGGAGGAGATTGATATGGCTACTAGTTTTGCTTGGAAATGCAGGGAAAATTGAGTGAGAACTCTATCGGGTATGAGCTGATGAAAATGCCTATTAATTTAATAAAACAAGGTTGCTTTCATTTTCGAGTTAAATCATTGTTACCGAGGCACTTAACCAAATTCTGATAAAATGGAGCTAAGAATTTAGCAATTTCAGTTACTGTTATTAAAATTGGGACCGTCTGTTTTTTGACTATGGAACCCTGACGTGATATTATGTGTCCACGCCTTCCTGTGAGCGTAAGTTTCAACCATGGCTGCTTTTTGTGTTCTGGTTTTTGGGCCAAGAGTTTCAGCCATGGCTTTTATTGTAGATCTGCAACACCTTTCTAGTTTCATCAGCCTTGCATGAACGAGGGCCTCCTCGTTCATATTTTCGATGTTTACATCTTCGCGAGCCCAAAAGTGCAATGTCCTTTTTGGTCGGAAAACACAGCTAGCTTAGAGAATCACCTATCAGTGAAGGGATCTAAAAGAGGGAGGATGGGTTTTATGAAACAGTGATTATCAAGAAGCATGTAATAAGGAACATCTAACTCTTGTAAAGGTCCAATTGTCCATCGTTCTTCTGGACACCAATATTGAGGTCCAGTGGCCTTGCTTCAAGGATCTGGTTGCCCTTATTTTCCGTTGGGTTTGATATGCAAATCACTAAGGATTAACAAAAACACACAAAAGGCCTGTTACCTCTGTTATTACTTGATCTTGCTCTTGCTTTTGCCCTTACTCTTGATCTCTGTCTCAAAAAAGTAGGCATGTCAAACTATATATTTGCAAATTTATATGTATTATAATTGTCCCATCATATATTCGAATATTACTTCTTTCAGTCCTTAATATAAGAATTAATTTGATTTTCAATTTGATCCTAAATATAAGACCTTAATTTATTTTGTTTCTTATTTTTCTATTTTTTCCAATGTAATCCTTGTAATAGTTACATATGTTAAATGTTTTATCAAATAACACTTGATTAGTAATGGTATTTTTGAGAAGATAATACTTATTTATTACAAATAACTAACTTAACTAATTTTCTTAATCTATTCAAATTAGTAACTCTTATATTAAGGACTGAAGGTCGTGTTACTAAAGGTGGTAGGTTTAAAATAAACAAATTTGGGATGTGTGAGCAAAACAAATACCAAAAAAATAGAGATCATAGTACTCACAGGTAGGTTTGTAATACTAGGGGAGGGATGCTGTCTTCAATCTCTTATTCATCGATAGCAGGGAGCACTAAAGCTTCTAAATTTTAGGCGAATTTGTTGCAAAATAAGAATGAAAAAGTAAATAAGAATAAAAAAGCTCTCTTAAATATAGACGTTGTTTTCTTAACAAAGTCGTTTTAACATCTAATGATACAGTAGAAGGACTTTTCCTCATTTTATTCTTCTTTCTTCGAACAACATTTTTATGTACAAACTAACCAAGCACCTTATAGGGCCTATGCGTATTCGATGGAATGTCATAATCCTGCAAGATGGTATAGTAAATAGAAACATCTTCAAGTATAATGACCATAACTTGTTATGGTTGATTCTAACCGTGTAGCTGATAAGGAGAAACTACCGATACGTCCATCTTGATTGCTATTGAGAAGTTCTTTGATCGCAACAAGACAGTATTCTCCAAATACACAAAGAAGCAACAGGAGTTTTGACCACAGATTGAATTAGATTCACAAAAGAAAAAAGAGAGACAAGAAGGGATGGGGACAAACGGAATAAAAACAAAATTACTTTGGAAGCACTACACGAAAAACGGAAGGTCCATCATCTTAAGATATTTCTGAATCAAGTTCCCTTGTCACAACCACAATGCTACTGCAGCAACTGCAATAATCACCAACGCCCCATTCCTATGTTTCAAACTCAGAGCAGCAGCGTCATCCGCTTGAGGAGCTGGAACATCCGCAGTTTTCTTCTTAGAAGTCGGTGCCGGTGCCGGTGGGGGAGGCTTGGGAACGAAGAAGTCTCGAGGAAGAAGCACCTGGTCCAGCTGATAAACAACAAGCTGATGATCAGAATACACAGTACCACCTATAGTTGTATTAACAACGCCCGTTGTCATATTCACTTGGTTTCCGGAACTCGTCACATTCAATGCCAGCCTGTTAGGATCATCACCGGCTTGTGTTCTCACTGGGTTGCTCAGAGTATCAAAATTGGAGATGGCAACAAATGTGGCCAGCAAGTGAAATTGAATGAGCTCGGTCTTCTGCTGGTCATCGAGGGAATTGAGGAATCCAGGTTTGAGGCTAGCAAAGGCATTGTCAGTGGGTGCAAAGAAGGTCATGCCATTGTTGGAGTTCAAGAGTTGGGAGTTTATTTGAGTATAGACTTGGGTGGTTTTGAGGAGACGAATTAGGGTGGTGAACCCTCCCGCCTTCTTGAGGATCCTGATGATATCAGTGGGGGCGGATGAGGGTGAAGGCGCGGTGGCCGGCGACTGAGCTGAAGTAGTGAGAATGGAATAGCAGAGGACCAGCAAAAGAAGCTTCATTATCGCCATCTTTTGTGTTTGGGAAAATGGAGGCGTGGTCCTTGAAGGAAGAGAAGTCGGAGGAGGGAATTTATGGTGGGATGAATGGGGATTATGTGGAGATTAGGTGAAATTAAAATGGTCAGCATATCCGATTGTGAATGAATCAAGGAAAGATGGAGGAACGGACAGAAGGAAGGTGAACATTGCTTGGGAAGGAAGGAAGAAAGAAAAATCAGTGAGAGAAGTGGGTGAGCGAGCATAAAAAAAGGAAGAGAATGATTGCGTAGGATGCACAGGTAACTGTATAGAAATAGAGAGAATCAATTGGTTGGATGCCCCATTCTCAAGAAACAAGCCCTTTGTCTGCCGTGAGCGAGTTTGATGATCATTATTTCTGAGTTGGCTTCTCACCTACGATGCCTTCCCACTTCCTCTCTGTCGATTTCCTCTATGTCACCTCTGCAATTTTGTAGACGGGGAATAGCAGATACATTATCACAAGGCTTCAGTGGTAAAAGAAATTTTAACCTCCCATGCACCTCGTATTGTACATGACCATCAATCATTAGGCTTAGATTTACATCGCCAACGAGTTTAGGATTAGAATTTTAAAAAAAAAAAAATTGAGAGATCGTCACTTTAATTGATTATCAAATCTAGATTACTGAAATTTAATTACAATCATTCGCTTTTCCATCATTGTTTTTTAATTCTTTCATAACAAGTCACTGTTTTCATAAGCTCCCACACGACTCTCCTTTTCCACGAGAATCCTGTTTCTCATCATTGCGCTGCGGTACTCACAAAGGAAGATGAAAAAGGTGGCTGTTTCCATTAAGAGTAAAGACAGATGGATCGGATTTGCATGTTTTGTGCTATTTAGGAAGTTCCAAGTATGAATTGCTTGAAACACCAACTAAAAACCGGCACCATGCTTTGGTGTTTCGTAGAGAGTATGCAACAAGCAAGCTTGTCTAGAGATGGATGGAAGATGATATAGTGCTTCTGCAATCCTTCTGAAAGCTATTAAGCCTCTGCTGCATTGGCAGGCTGGCAGCTAAAAAGCTACGGGAGTGTTTGGCAAAACCAAAATCTAAGTTTCAGAAGCATTTTTCGCAAAACGAGATAACTCCTCCACATATTTACTTCGTAATCCGTAAAAGCACTTCTGAAACCATGGTTTGGTTTCTATCCAAACACCCCCTACATATGTATGACCAAACTTGTTTATAGATACTGGGCTGAAGAAAGAAAACTATGGAACCGAAGAATAAAATCAACTCTTTCGAAAAAGCAGACGAAACGGATAACCAAGGCATTGTTTCAAAATCAATCTCTTCCAACCCACACAAGCTTGATAAGCAGAGCAAAAGATGCTTCCTATCAATATCTTTCAGTCAGCACTCAAAGGTTAAAAATAGTATACCAAAGACAGACAAACAATCAACAAGGAGCACTGATGCCTGCTCTTTATATGTCCAATAGGTAAATTAACGATAAAATACCATATTTCCAATGTGAAAAGAAATAACAACTGCTGGCTACCAAAACACGTCTGATTCAACATTATATGTTGTCACCAAGTGACCAAATCCATTCAGTTTTTATAGGTTTTAATGCGTCACGGATAACAGCATTGGTAAGTGACCCAGTGAATAGGCTTCCACCATAAGGAAACAAGCTTTAAGTCATTCATAAGTTATCATTAGTCACTGAACAAATGCATCTTGCCTCATTGGAGCAATAATCAACTAGTGTGTTCCTCCCCGCCATGCATCACCATACATGTTTGATGTTTTACATGCACAACATGCAAGATTAGACACATTATATAATTAGATCCTCTGCTAGCATGTATTATTGACTTATTGTACATTTTCAGATCTTCCCAAATGTTGCTTGCATTTCTTTCTCAACGCATCCTCAGCTTTTAGTTTCTCAGGAACATAATCTGAAGAAGCAAGAGCACCAGAGAAAGCAATACTGTCTTAGTTCAAGGTAAACTTCTGACCAAAAAAAAAAAAGAAGCTATTTTAATTTTTTTTTTTTTGGGGGGGGGGAGGGGGGTTACTTCCAGATATTTCAATAAAGAAAACAAAGCACTTTGATGGCAACAGGAAATTACCTAAAAGAAAGTCATATCTCCTCTGCTTGCCAACAACACCGGCTGAAAAGAGAAAGGGTCATCTTATCAGCAATGGGATGATACCAAACAATCTCATTAAGGGTCGACTCAAATGAAAAGGTTACAAAGACATTTTTTATGACATCCGATGGTATGCGAGATGCCGAGATGCACTGGAAATGAATAGTGCCTCGCCTCAGTGACTGAGGTACAAAAGCGAGTGCCTATCACTGATCATACCACAACCTACTTTATAGTGAATCAATTTGATCGCAGACCTTACCATCCAACTCCATGAAACTATCATTTTGACGAAATAAGCTAGAAGAACACCAAGAAAGCTAAATTATCATTAAGGTATGACATATGCACATACTTCACGTCTTAATTATATGTGAGAATTCAAATCTCAGAACATAATTTAAGAAAGAAGCAGATCGCGTGGTTGGCATTTTTCCCTCTCAAGTCATAAAAAAATTTCAGTGGTCGGCATTTTTTCATCTCAAGTTACAAGGAAACTCCAGAGAACAAGTGTACAATAATTAAACCAGAGACTGTCATATCCCATGAAACATCTAGAGAAGAAGATTACACAGGCGCTGGTAACCAAGAAATTTCTTTTGATCCCCAACTGAACAAGCATGAGATTCCCGCGTAAATTGTTTGAGGAACTTCACCTGAAATCAGCAAAAGATATTCGTATTAGGGAGGCCCAATAAATTGTTGTTTGGATATCCAAGTGTGAGTCGAATTGAAGGGATGTGAGTTTATATATAAGGACTCGTAAACTCAACTCTTTGAGATTTAGAGTTAAAATGTGGTATCCCCACCCATCATTGCCCATCTGTTCTCTCCCCTATTTATGGGCGGTTGCTCCTCATTCATTACAAGTACTATCAAAGCTAATTTTTGCTTAGGACTTGAAGTAAAGACGATGTTTGAAGGCCGTGATTATACACACCATTTTAGTCCCAAAAATGAGACTGGCCTGACAGGGACACGTGTGTGTCACAATGAAGTCAAAAAATCAGGCCGGCCCTGATTGCAACAGCATAGACCTGTTATTTTGCGGTGTCTTGGAGCTAATGACTCACACCTAAGGAGTGAGGGTTAGGATATGTGGACTTGAGTTGATGTGAATTTAACAAGTAACACACACACACACACACACACAAATGTGTCAGGCAACAAAACATATATATGTGAAAGGATCCATAAACTTGGGCTGGTTTTGAGTTAAGTTGTGTATCCTCATTGACCATTTGCTCACTCCCCCACTTATGGGCGGTCTCGCCTGGGCGGTCATTCCCCATTCCTTACACTTGTTGCGAACAAGTACAACATTCCCCTGACGACTTTTAAGAACTGCCGATGATAAAAATTTGTTCTTTCACTATTTAACAGTAGTAATAATCCCCACAGAAGCTTAGCAAAGGAGGCATTTCCTACTTCAAACATGACAGTCGATCTAAAGCTCAACATTAAGAGTGGAAATTTTTAAGAAAAAAATGAACTCGAAGTAAAGATAATCAGAGAAGCAACACTACCGTAGCTTTGCTGATGACAAAGATGGCTTCCTCAGAAGCACGTAGATCGGGATCTTCTGCCTTCATTATTCTCTTGATTCGACTCATCGGAAGCTCATTCATTTTCGCGTTTTCTTTCTCTTCAACTGTATAATCGCCACCTTGTTGCTTTCGTTTACCCTTCTTGGGTCTGGTCCCGTTGGTTCGCCCATTTGTAGCCCCGTTGTTGTGAACTCCGGGCTCCTTCCCTCCTTCTAAGAACTCGGTGGTAGAAGACGGAAAGATTGATACTTTATCGTCCTTCAAATTGCTCTTGCCGAGTTTATTCTTCTTCGCCAATCCCTCTTTTCGTGGCTTACTTGCTTTACTCGCTACTTTTGAGCTTCCCCCGTTGTTGATTTGCTTTTCTGTTTTCGACATTTTGGCGGAAACCATGAATCGCACCCCCGAAAGGCGCCTTTCCACTGTACTGTAGCGGAAGGAAGGGAGTGGCCTATGATTCTATGAATAAAGTTTCTTGGAAAAATTAACTCTTTGGTCCGGTAGTCTCCAAGATTTCGAAATTAATCCCTACGACTTGTGATATATTTTCTTGCCAGCCCCTGTGATTTATTGTGATACGTGCGCGCGCGCGCGTCCCAGTTTATCTCTCTCTCTCTCTCTCTCTCTCTCTCTCTCACACGCACACACACACTCATTCAAATTCATAGAAATATTTACCGTGTTTTTATGTATATGCGCGCGCACACATTAATTAACGAACAATTTTATCAAGAAGCTATTCACCTCCGAGACAGGAATTTTGTTTAACATATTTCAATCAAATAATATTTTGTATTTTTTTTGGGCGTCATTGTTAAGTCACTTTTAATAGCTGTCAAAAATTAAGTACTAATATTTCTTATAGTAAAAACTATCGAAAATGATTTAAATTTTTTATTGATAATTACTAATTTTCGATAATATCTATTATGACATTTTTTTAAACACTTGCTGACATTTTTTTTTTTGGGCATGGAACCTGTTGACAGTTAAATAAGTGCTAATAAAACGAAAAATGGACGGTCAAATACACTAACATTCATGACGCTCAAATGAGTTGAAAATTTTCATAAAATGATAATAATCTATTTATAAACAAATTATTTTTTATCATTAATCATGTGTAACATAAATGGGGTCACAACAACATCAAAATTCAAGAAAATTGATGATCATGGGCTTCAGCATGTAGGCCCTTATTTATCTTGGCTATAACTTGTATACCCAAAGCACATCAAAATGGCACGGCAAAGAATAATAGTACATGTTATTTCCCAACATTGACGCCATCAGATTTAGAAGTCAACGGCTCCTTCACTGACGCCAATCTCAGATAGGCCTCGGAACCTGCAATCCATGCATGAAGCCGAAAACAGAGATGGAGTTCTGTACCTATCTTCCCCACCCAAGACTGGCATTGGAACACCTCTCTTCACTGGGCTCTCATAGTTTGGCCTGTATGTCTTCCCCAGTACCCCTTCCACCATATCTGTCAGGTTCTTGAACTTGAACTGTGTCTCCAGGTGAGCGAAAGCATCGCCTTCTGGCAACCGATAGTTGTGAACCCTGTTTTCTTCCTCCTCGATTGGTCTCACTTTAATGTCCATTTCCAACAATCCTGAAACTGTCACTCTCACACTATTCGCATCATCAGTTCTTTCCACGATGACTTCTCTCTCTTCCTTATTCGCCCTCCATTCAGCCTCTCCATCGGTGGGGATCATGACTGCTTCGCCATCCCATTGTAGTGTGAGAGAATCCACTTTGTCATCCCAGTGTGATACTCTGCTGGCTGCGATTACGAGAGTGTGAGTGTCAAACATCACAGCCAGGGCCTGGACCCATGTGAAGTCACGAGTCCTTCCTTGGGGGCGAGTTCCGATAAAATGTGCATTGATTTGAAGGTTATCGTCGGAGACCATTGCAAAGTTTCCTCCTTTAGCTCCGTGGAAGTAGAACATCACACCGTCACCACCAACGAAGCGAGGATCGTAACAGACGGCACCATACCCATCGCAGTTCGCTTTTCTAACTGTTAACCAAAAAGATCTCTGAGTTTCAAATCTCGTGATATAGTCATATACATGTAGTTAGACTCACTTATTTTAAGGTGTTTCAGCTTGGTCGACACGTGATGGATAATGAAAGCAAAAAGGTAGCTAGAAGAGGTGAACTTACACTTGCAAGTGGCTTCACACTTGCTGCTGCAGTCCAAGAAGCATCCCTTTTCCTTCCTGTTCCTCTTCGGCTTCCTTTTCTTACACTCAGATGGACATATAAGGGTCTTGAAGTGACACGATCCCCTTGCTAAGCAGAAAGCTCGTTCTTGTCCGGACGGATGAGGTGACAACACCCTATAATTTGCTGAGGCAGCATCATACGGGAACTTCTTACCGTTACCATTCCCTTGAGATTGGGCAACGGTGGCTACCATAGCGACAAGCAAGATCAAGAAGGCCACGAAAAAGCTTGACTTTCTCGTAGCCATGTTGGTTATCTATGCTCAAGTTGAAGCCTTTTTCTTATCTCTGCTTTGATCACTCTCAGTAGTTTCAATGACGGAAGAGAGAGTGAGATTAGATGCGAAGGGCAGGTTGCCAAGGAGAGTGCATTTATAGATAATTTTGGCGTGAAATTTGACCCTAGACGTTTGGCTTAAGCTATGCTGGTATCTTTCTTCTTCTAGCTAATCCGACGTACAGGCGTGAAACAGCTCCATGCATGGGTTTGTCTCTTACACACAGAACTGGTACCTCAAACTCTTCAAAAAGTTTGTGATATATAATTGCTTGGCTTGTAGGAGTAGATAGACCACTTAATACGAAAGTTTAAATTGCTAATTGACAAGTGAGGAGACTCTAGATGATGCTGGACTTTCATGCACGTTCAAAGACTTGCATGTGAAGATTATTGGCTCAAATTACAGGACTGACAGCGAAGAAGTGTAACTATACATATATTATTTGAGCAAGTGGGGAATATTCAATTGTTGGACATCATATAATTGGGGGAAGGAGCCACTTATGGGTTGAATATAATAATAATAATACGGTTTGGTCGGCTTCTAAGTTACTCGTTGCGTTGGGGTTACGTAGAACTTTATGAAATCAAAGCTGGGTTGCGGCTTAAGCTTGGGTGAATAGGAAGTCTTTTGATGAATAACGTGAGGCTGCTAGTTCATATTGATTCACGGATCATGTGTTTGTATTGCCTCCCCACTGCTTCCTCTGACTAGGTCAAGTCAGCCCCTCACTTGCTGCAGCATCGGGCGGCCGACGTGGTTGTGGTTGACAAAGCCATTCTTTATTTTCTGGGCATGGAAAAGGCCGAGCCATAGAGGAAGTTTAACTAATTACTCAGAAATATTCTGCTAATCCCATATTTTTCTGTGAATATATAAATGTTAAATCTATAAAATTAGCAGGGTTTATTTTTTCTGAGTCTTTCTAATCCAGTATGTTGGTACACACCTGTTCCTGAGTCATCAGCAGTGACAGTTTTGGAACCAGTTAAAGCATATGACCACACCCTGAGTTAAACAATGATTGAAATCAGGGACACTTGTGAACAAGTGGCATGCTAAATAAAAGACATTTAACTGGGAGAATCAATATAAATCACAAAGGTAAGCTTTTATAATGTCGTATCTGTACGTAACAATCTGAAAGGCATTTTCCAGACAGCTAATAAAAATGATTCAGCAGAGGAATGTGTATGAAGGCACAGGATAATCGTATAGCATTTGACTTCTGAGTTCTCACCCTGCCTCAAGGATTTCTGGATCACAATTAAGTTTGTGTATCCATTCACGGTTTGTTATTCTTTCGCTTCCTGTAAATTTGTAGTTTTATTATATCATAACAATCCCCTAATTCTCACCCCGTGTCCTCCTCCATTTATCCACCAGCTCTTCCCATCTTAATTTAACTTGATTTGTATATAATTGATTATACGTCCCATCGCGTTATATATAATTAATTCTACATCCTAGCTGGGAACGTGAAGGACAGTGCAGGAGAACAAAGAGAAAATTCTCCCGCATTCACCATATGAATGCGCGCGACAGGAATGATATAAAGAAAAGAGAGCCAGTTGGCCTAGGTTCTCACTTCGCACATTGTGAGATCCTAAGCTACGTTGTTCAGTTTACATGGGAGAATAAAAACAATAACAACGCAGACAAAGATATAAAATAACTTAACCGAATTGCATAGATTAAGCAACCATTATTTCCAACAACAACAACAACAAACTATTTAACATCAATAGGATACTCTCTTTTTTTCCTTAACTAACAGTGATTTTTCTTAATTTCGATTTGTTTCTCCTGCACTTTTCTTTACTTGAAGATTCATAATGTTTTCTAGTTATAACGCATGAAAGGTCGTGCATGGCTACCATTTCTATTTTATTCAGGGAATTGACTTTTGTTAAGTTCTGTTTAAACATAGGTTCCATCATCTCATGCTTATTTTTGTTTTTATTCTGATTTTATTGGTAGAAATTAAATTATTTAATTTTTATGCTCCAAGAGAATTTAGGCCAATACTTGTTATTGTTAATATTCTCTAATTTTATATTTTTTATATCGAAAATAAAAAAAAAGGGACTTAGAAATTTGAAGGATAATACCGTAGGATTACTCCCTAATAATTTCCTGGCGAGGTTTTAAATTTAAAAATGTTTCCCACTTTGTTTTGGGTCAGTAAATATTTCCCACTCTTTTTTTCCGCCAACAATTTCCCATTCCTGTTTCCGTTGCTCTCAAATTGCTGAATCGCTGAAATGCCCTCGAGTCCCTAGCGGAATTTCGACCTCTTTGCTCGATATTGATTTATCTATCCAGCGCTCAAGCTTGATCCTCTCATTTCTCTCTTTATTCATGATCCATGCATTCTATCTGGGGTTCTTCAATTCTGTTTGCTCGTCTTTTTACCTCATAAACCGGTGTTTCAATATTGGGTTGGTTATGGTACTGCCTCAACTTTTGTGGTGACTGTACTTTTCCTTCACGATTGAATTTTAAGGCTAGGACATAAAAATCTTGCTCCGGTGATTCGTGCTAACGATTCCAGCTTTTTCCTTTTGGAGCTGGGGTGACAGGCTTCTCATTCTCGCCAGAATAGAAAAAGGTGACTCCTTGAACATTAATTCATAAGATTTTCACCGACTTTTGTCATTTTGATCCCTTAGATTATTCTAGTATTTATATTTTGATCCGTCATTTATTAATGGGATTCTTCCTCTCTTTGCCCCGCAATTTTCGCCTGTTTCGGATTATGCAAAGGTAGCGAAGGGTCGGTGGGAGGTTGGGGGTTGAGCCTGCAAGGTTTGTTTTAAACTGTAGTTATCACTATGTTGGATGCGACTAGAAGCGGGTTTAATATCTCATGCCGCTCTCTTCACCTAGCTGAATGGCATCCTTTTCAATAACACCGTTGAACAGGGCCTAAAGCCCTTTCCTTGCTCTGAAATAAGGTGGGTATCTTTCTATTAAAGATGAAAGACAAAGTATAATCTTTCGCTGTGCGCAATGAAATCCCCGAAATCAAATTTAGCTTTCATTTGCTTCATGGGACTTTTGCTGTGAAAATCTTTACAGGATCTGCCGAGAATTTAGCTATTGGGTATTTGCTTTGGCCATTTGAGGTGAGCCAATTTGGTGCTTCTTGTGTTGGTGAAATCGTATTTACTTATTGCTGACAGAACAACGTGTTCTTTTACAGATTTTCAATTAATAAAGTTTGTTCAGCTGAGAATACGTCGACGGCTTGCAGTTCTAACCTCCAGATTTTCAATAGGAGTTTTCTTTTGCTGAGATGGATTTTTGTAATTGCTTCGGGTTCATCCGAAAATCTAAACAGCAGAGTGCTAAGTTTGGTATCAATAATAATCTCTCTCAGGAGCTATTGTTGGATGAAGACATTGAAGACGAGGGTGGCTCATATGATGGTGAGGTTACTAACATCAGCAGTGGAGATGATGGCGAAGTGCAAATTCATGCCAACCGGTCTGAGGATATTTTGAAACTGAGAGCACAGAGTGACATGATTTGTAGGCAATTTCCTGTGAAGGAAACTCACAAAGTTGTTCGTACAGAGGTGATTGTGGGAGTAGTTTTTTTGGATTTAAATCGAAGGTGCTCTGATGCATAGTGAAATAAGAAAGACTACTTGGATATTGGTATCTGAATTATGTTGTGTTCAGCATTGGCATAAACTGTTCTAGCATGTTTTAAGTACTTTATAGGTCCAGACCAGAAGAACCTCCGCCAAATATTGTATGATATCAATAACCACTAGCTGAGGGGCACATTTTATTGCTGTAAATGATATTCTATTTTTCAGCGATGATCTCTTTTATATTGGTGATGGTGATGGTGATGGTGGTGAGTTTAATCGATGGAGATATGAAATTCTAGAAGTGGAAGTTTGGTCTGGCTTTTAGATTCCGTTGTTTAACAATTTGGTGCCATGACTAGAAGTTTGTGACCTTTGAAAACTTTTAAGATTTCTGTCTGTTTTGTTACTAATTGTTGATTCCTCTGTAGCCTCACCTGCAACCATAATTTTTCACTATCCTGTCCAGTATATTTATCTTGAACTTATATTCAGTCCCTGATGTCGGTATCTTTTCATACTGTTTGAATGCTGTGTCTGCCTTCTGAATGGTTTTTGCATCGCTTGGCTTGCATTTAGGTAATTTCATACCTGTGCTTTTGGGAACTTGATTACATTTGTAATCTGTTTCAGGATGAAAATGGAAACAAGATGATAAATGAGTATGTTCGTGAATATAGGATAGGTGCTGGTAGCTATGGGAAAGTGGTGAGCATCATGCTCTAGTAAGAAGGTTTTTTTTCCCGTGATTTATTTGCTCCTAAGCCCCTTTCCCCTTCATTGATCACAGGTTTTATATCGAAGTTCTGTTGATGGTAAGCACTATGCAATAAAGGTAAGGACTGTTTATGGTGGGGCTGTGGATTACTGCGGTAGCAAATAGGCAATTGGTTTCATTTCACGGGCTGCAATAAGTAGTCACTATTCATTATAAAATAGGAAAACGGGACCTAGATAATCAGTTTAGCTAGCTTGGCAGAGGGAGGCGGTAGACTTTCAACTACTAGGAGACTGAAAAGCACATCTGTTCAATCACGATTATATGGTTCAAAAATAATAAAGAGTTGAAATAGAGGTAAAATTAAATATCACGTTATTTCTCACCTTTCAAAAACTCACAGGCTCATGCATGTATGATGTTGTTGCTTAGGGAAGTGCAACAGATCAATTGTTGAGCTTAAATCTGATGAACTGCAGGTCTTTCACAAGTCTCATTTACTGAAGCTTCGAGTTGCTCCCTCAGAGACTGCCATGACAGATGTTCTGCGTGAGGTATCTTTTAATTTCATCTCTTTGGCTTTTTGGCAATTTATGTTGTGAGGTGCCAATTTTCAATTTGCAAAGTGTGATCATACATTTCGCTTATACCCAGCAGCTTCTGGTCTGTATGCCTATGTAACTTCTGATGGCAATATATGGAAACTGCTACTTAATTTGCCGGTTGATGGTGTGCTATTCACTATTCTTATTGTTTAATGTACTTTTATCTGTGATTATTTTTGTACAGTAGCATGCATGCGTAGGTCATTTTAAGAGAATTAAAACTTCTTTCATCCAAGTGTTTTGCGTGCCCTTTGCTTTGTAGTCTTACATTTATGATATATTGGCTGTTTTACCATCCCTAAAGTAGTTTGAATGACTCGAGTGCTTTCTTTACAGGTACTCATCATGAAAATGCTGGAACATCCTAATATAGTCAATCTCATTGAGGTGATTGATGACCCAGAGTCAGATCACTTTTACATGGGTACTCATGACTAGATTCTTCATTTGGTTTTGTTATTTAATTATTGAATAGACCTGCTTAAGCTTTTGATTGTGTTTGAGCCACAAATTTGAATAATTAAGAATCTTGTTGAAGTCCGTTGCTTGACTGCTGGTTTTTCTGGCCCAGTACTTGAATATGTGGAAGGCAAATGGGTCTGTGAGGGTACAGGACCTCTTTGTCGCTTAGGTGAGGAGACTGCTAGGAGATACGTGCGTGACATTGTTTCAGGATTAACGTATCTACATGCTCATGTAATCTTTCGACCAACCTTTTTGGGCTATTGCTGATTTTGAAACACCCCCCCCCCCCAAAAAAAAAGGGAAAAAAAAGAAAAGAAAACGTATACAACCTCTCACTCAATGCTATCGCTTCCATATAGTTCCAAATATTTTATTGGAGGATTAAATTTCATTATATGGATTTATGATTAGCTTCTCCTGTCATGATTATATTACTGATTGTAACTTTTGCTCATCCTCTCTGTTTTAAGCTTACGCGCATTGAATTTTTTAGTCATAGTAAGTTAGTAACCTCCTTCTGGCTTTATCATCTGTTGCGATAGAGTGTAACGTTGTAATGCTCATGTTGAGATTGAGAGAATTAATATTTTTCCTTGATGAAAATGATGTGCAAAACATTAGCAGACGCCCCACTAGGATTGAAAAGATTGTGTGATCCTGTGGCAAAGAGCACTGTGTCAACTCAATGCCCTAGTCATTTCATGTTGACATGTAATGAAGATTTAATATTGCAATCATAGCAACCATTCGTTTGACCATTATTGCCTTAATGAAGGATTGACTGTTGCAGTCAGATTAATCATTAAAATGATATTTTGAATTATTCTTGATTCGACTGTTTTTCAGTACTTGAATGTGGAATTTGTTTGATAATTGTTATTTGTTCTGGCGTATAAGATCATGAGGGACTACTTCCATGAACTCGGAGATCTGTGAATTCTGCAAGAGCTGCATGTAGGTCTCTTAAAGTTACAGCCACTAGTCCATTACTGTAACCTTCTAACCAGAGATTTGGCCCCAACTTATGAATTGAATCAAAATTATCAAAATTCTGTAGTGTCCTTCACATTTTTGTGAATAGGTTATCGAAATAATCAGAATTCCCGTCTGATAGGTTTCTTTGAATGGCAGAATATTGTGCATGGGGATATTAAACCTGATAATCTGTTGGTTACTCGCCATGGTACGGTGAAGATAGGGGATTTCAGTGTCAGCCAGGCATTTGAGGTATTATTATTACGGACCTTACTCGTAATTATGATCCACTTTATTATGCGTGTGAAAAATATCAAAGTTGGGTCTATTTACGGCATACTTCTCTCAGGCCCTCACCCCATTTACCATAAATGGATAAGTCATTTTATTTTTTTTGTTCATTGCATGACTGAGAGTGAGAGGTTAGATTGTAACTTTTCCATTAAAGGATTAATCAGTATATGACCTAAACTCATTTTTTCATTGGATGACCATATGCGTGTACCCTATGCAGTGTTCTGAGGGATATATTTTATTATTGTTTAAGGTGACATTACATGGATGCTAGGATATGTCGCAGCAATGAATATGGAGCCTGTAATTGGTTTCATTTTGCAGGATGATAATGATGAACTCCGTCGGTCCCCTGGCACTCCTGTTTTCACTGCACCAGAATGTTGTTTGGGTTAGAATTATCTTTCCAAACTTGCAGATTACTCATTTACTGTGTACATTCCATGAAAGTACATGGTCTTATTGCAGTTTTTTCTGTTCATGTTCTTTAGGTCTTACCTATCATGGCAAAGCTGCAGACACATGGGCAGTAGGAGTTACTTTGTACTGTATGATACTGGGTGAATATCCATTTCTTGGTGATACTCTTCAAGATACTTACGATAAAGTAAGAAATACACGCACACTTGAATATTTTACATATCTTTCATGTGACATGCTTTCAGTCTGTGATGAATGCTCAGCATATTGTTTTCTTCCGTGCCCAGATAGTGAATAACCCTTTAGTGCTTCCAGATAGTTTGAACATGCAATTGAAGAACTTGCTAGAAGGACTGCTTTGCAAAGGTACTTACCATTTTTACGGAAATGTCATCCCCTCGCCCCCCCCCCCAAAAAAGGGGGGAAAAAAATCTTTTGAAACGTCTTTATGGTTCCTCTTCTGGTGAGGTTGTCATCTTTCGGTTCTATTGCGTGATTTGCAGATCCAAAACTAAGGTTGACATTAGGTGATGTTGCGAAGCATAGCTGGGTTATAGGAGACTATGGTCCAATTCCTGAGTACTTGTGTTGCTGTAAACGCAAGAGCTTGGAGAGGAGAGACTTAGATAGGAGCAATATACTTGCTTGACCTCTACATGATTATATTAGGTTGGTTTTAAATTAATTATTGTGGAAGAAGAAGCCCAGATGTACTTTCCCATTTTGATCCCCTGTGGAGATATGAGTAAGGTGGTCTTGATGAGACTCTTGGGAAACTGTAGAAAGCAATGGTGTCGTTCTTGTGATTGAGTAGGGAGAAAATGACTTGCTCCTTTTTCTTTGTGGAAGAGTTTGGCATGTGGGAATGTGTGAATTTCCCATGGTTGGTCACAAAAACCTTGTATCCCTTAAGTATCGGGCGTAACTAATGCTTTCCAGCATGGAGTCTTGTTTTATGCGGTGCTTCAAAGAGCTTGGTCTATCCGATTGTTTAACTTTGGTCTCCATTATCGAAGATATATGTTCTGCCCATGGCCTTATAGTCTAGTGGCATGTGGCTTGCCCTTACTGATATGAAAGGTTGCTGGTTCAATCCGTCATAACCTCGAGCATTTATTTGCGCTATGTTTTTGAAACTGTAAGATCGAGTTGTGGCATTTCCGAAGCTAAATTTTCTTGCTTGCCGCCTTCCTAGCCCATGGACTGGTTGCCATAATCCAAATCGTACATTGCTAACTCATCCAAACGAAAACCCGAAAGCTTGTTAGACAATATAACGATCTTATTTTTGTACTTATGGTTCTTGCAAAATAAAATGTTCACGATTCCAATATGGAGTAGGGAGCGAAATAACACATCAAAATCTCCAAATTGGTTTTTGGTTGCATCAGTGTTGATGGCCAAGAATAGACCAGGCAGGGAGGTAGGGGCATACATTTTGGTGGGTATTATCTTCGCCACCCAAGCTTGCTTTGCTTTGCCTGTATTTGTTTTGCATTGTGGAGTTCCCCATCATTGCCAATTACTCTAACTTTGTTCACATCACCACATATTTCTCTGTGTATCCCCTGACCAAGCCATAGTTTGGACTTTTTTACGGCAGCTTCCCCCATTCTTAAAGGTCACCTTTATGAATCAAAGCAATAAAAGTTCTATCGAGAAATTTAGAGGGTCTTTAGATTAGTTCTTTTAGAAATAATTTTACAAGTTAAGAAGTCATTTTTAAATAGAAAGTAGATAAAACCATTCTATTTGACCATTGCCCTCAGTTTTCAATAACCGAGCACACAGTTAGTTATAAATGGAAAAAATAAACTGAAAGATGGTTCTTTTCACCTCGTTCGGCAAAAAGACTATGATTTGTGTTAATGTGAAGTTCCCAGACTGTTAGAAATCTGGACTCTATAACTTCATTTCTAGGAACTTGATTCTGTACTGCAAATTTCCAACTTGAAGTTTGCACCAGTTGCGACGGGTGTTGGACAGGGACACTTGGACTCTTGGTTGAGAGAGAAAGTGAACAAATGTTTTTTTTTTTTTAATTCTGAGGAGAAAGTACTGAAAAGACCACGTGAGAGGATATTGTGTCAGAGGAGCTGCTCTGCAATCTGAATAAAAACCCACTTGGATTTTCTGACTCCTGCACAGAATTAGAGGCCCTTCCCTTCTCCCCTTCTATCTTATTCCCATCACCTCCGTTTTCTATTGTTAAAAACAGGCTTTCTTTCTTTCCTTTTATCTCATAAAGTTTGAACAACTACGATGTCCGTACTTGTAAACAATATGATTAATATATATTATACATACTTCACTCAAAAATATATATATATATATATACATACTGATCACTTGAGAGGATATAATTTATATGTCAACTGCAAATTGCCTCAATGCCAATATTATCCGCTTTATTTGGATGAAACCCCAAATTTAAATCGATATTGATGTATTTATGTGCTTATAATTTATATAAAATATAAAAAAAGGATGGTATAAGTATACGTTAAATTACATTATCATCGTATAGAGAAAAGAAAGAAAGAATTCTGGTTATCATGATGTCGTGTAAAAAGAGCATCGGGAGGGGGAAAAAAGAAATGACAGACCTTTTGAAGTGGGCAAAACGTAAGTACATACAGGAATGTGAAGGCATTGACCTTTTTATTTTCATATGGGATTTAGAGAGAGAGGGGGGGGGGGGGGAGGTCACATGGGGAGGTTCTGAAATGTGAATGAGGAAAAGTAGTAGATTCTCTTCCACCTCCTTGTTCTGCCGACCTGCCGTTACTGCCTTCGATTCTCTTTTACTTTCTCTCTGTCACGCCATTTTCTCTTTACTACTTAAAAAAAAAGGTCTTGTCTTTCTGCTTCTTCTTGTTTAGTAGTAACAGTAGAAATTCTTGATCTTAATTTATTAATTCATAATTAAATTAATTAACATTCGTTCTTTTAATGTCTTACATTGACATGTGGACCTGACGAGGCCGCGTTCACGACTCCTGAATTTTTAATTTGTATTAATACTATTGTATATTTTTGACTTTTTACTCCCTACCAGATCATTATCTTAAATCATGTTTATCGTGACCCTTGCTCATATATGTTGAATTTATGCCCAAAAATCGTGCAGGTTACTAGTACTACTAATATAGGACCCAATTCTGAGTTGGTTTTGTCCTAATATATTTCTCATATTATCAATTTCTCTAAATACCCTATAGAACTCCTTCAACCATAATCAAATAGAGGAAGAGGAGTAGTATTAAGAAGATGATTGTGGATTTAGGAAAAATGTGCTTTTCTTATAATTAACTAACTACTAACTTCCTTAATCTAATCAAATAGTTAAATGGGTCTTATATTAAGGACCGGAAGAGTAGATATCTAAATATGTAAGTTTGCAAAACTAACGAACTTAAAAAGGCTTCACTATAACAAAAATATTTTGATTGTAAGATTTTCAAAGTTGCGATCTTTAATTCAAATTAAAAACTGAGTTTAGAAGGTGATATATAGTGTTGAGGACAAAATTCCAGAAAAAGGCTGTGAAAACTGGAAAGAGCCGCTGGGAATAATTAATGAAAGTTTCGACACAACTAAAAAGTTTTCATGCGTGGCCTATGTTTTCTTGTGGCCTGAGAAGTTTCCAAGAAAGATCATCATATAACTGTATGCCATCTGCTTAAGAGTGAAGACAACGAAGTTTGAAATGAATGGTAGAGTTTAACAAATCAAATACGTCACTTGTAAGGAATGTCCATTGAATTTGTGGGAAAATCACTTTGGATTTGGATATAGTTTTGTGGTGTGGCATCCCATTCCAATCTCAGGACCATTCTCAATATAAAAAAGCTGATAATGATGGTTTGGCTTGATTGGACATATATATACTACCTCCGATCTTAATTATAAAACCCAGTTGACTAATTTGAGGAGATTAAGGAAGTAAGTAGGTTAGTTATTTGTAATAAATAAGTGTTGTCATTCCTAAAATATCCTTGCTAATTAAGTGTATTTGCTAGAACTATCATTATTAGAAAGATTATCTTGGAAAAAAATGCATAAATATGAGAGACAAAAATGGATTGGGGTCTTATAATTAGGACCAAACTAAAAGTCAAACGGGGGATCTTATATTAAGAACCAGAGGTAGTATAATATCATAAAATGTCATGAGCCGGCCTTTTAGGTTACTTATTTGTACACATATTTTTACATATATCATGCCATTCCTACGGGAAAAAAAAGTTATCAAAATCTAAATTCAAAATCTGACAATGTTGGTAATCATATGTTGGATATACACCGCTTACAAATTAAATATGAGATCGAATTATATTAACTCACATTGTGTGTAATATTGATTCTTTTAAATTTAAAATCATTTAATTATATTTCAACGGAAGTAAAATTTATGCTATCATTGAGTACAGTCATAAAACTATCATTTGAAAGTAAAATTTGCTCGCACGTACGATTCATATTCAACGGAAGGAGAATTAGATGACCCTGTTTTTCTTTTCTTCTTTTTTAAGGGTCTTAGGTGTGATTTAGTTCGAATTGGGTCGATTTTCTTGCATAGTTCATGTGACTGTACTCAATGATAGCATAAATGTTTATGAATTCTATATATTATATTATATGATGCTCTAAAATAATACGCTTTACCAACCCTTTCAATTTAAAAAATGGAAAAAAGTTCCTAATTAAAAAAAAATTAACTGGTCAATGTTACTTGAAATTTAGAGTATCAATTTTTTTCATATGCACAACAATTATAGAAAGTACCATTTCAAATACCATTTTCCAATTAATTTAATCAAGATTTTTTTTCCAAATTTCTCTCCAATTAATCGTAGAAAGATTTTGCTTGAACCAGCATTGCCATGAACGACAAATATTTTTTAAAATTTTTTGAAAAACATAAGATACTCCTATGGTCCTTAATATAAGACCCATTTAACTAATTTGATTAGATTAAGAAAATTAGATAAGTTAATTAATTATAAAAAATATGACACGTTTTTCCTCAAATACCATAATCATCTTTCTTAATGTCCCTCTTTCACTTCTACTTGATTATGGTTAAGAAAGTATCTATAAGGATAATTTAGAGAAAATTGATAAATATAAGAAATTGGTCTTATATTTATAATCAAAATCAATTCAATAATTAAGTCATATATTAAGAACCGGAGGAGTATTGTTTTTACTGGGCTAGGAATATAAAAAGGAAAGCAGTTTAATTTAATATGCTATACTCGAAGGCATAATAATATGCCCACATCGCCCATCACGCGTCAGAGTCGGACAAAATGAAAATGAAACAAAGCAAGGGCCAAAACGGAGAATAAACAGAAATAGAGGGCCAAGTATGCAAAATAAGCACATTTTGTCAGTTTTATAAGTCTTCCAATTCTTTCCCACCCCCAACGTCCGAGTCCGAGTTACCTTACCGCGTCTCTCCTCCTTCATTCTAGTCGCCGATTCCCGGCAACATGTTTTGACGGCACGAAAATCCCGTCGAATCATGCGGCGGTCCAATATTTGACATCCTACCCTTCATTGAACAAGCCGGTACGGTTCTATTCATATCTGTACTTATAGCCGTCTCTCGAGAGTCAAATTTTTATTAATTTTTTTCATTTTATATTTTGGATCCCAATTCGTGTTTTGTTTATTGACTTGAATCGGATCATAGCAAAACCTCGCAGTCAAATATGTCCTATGTATATATCGCCTTTTTAAGTAAAGTTTCCTTTTTTTTGTTCAGTAATTGATGTTCGTTTCTTTTTCTCGCGGCTTTGCAGATAATTCTTTCTTCATGGCTGAATACCAGATAAGATAAACTTCTGGGTGGTCTCACTAATTTTCTGGTGTCTCCAGAATTTCAAAGGTTTACGGCTGATTCATTTGATGCTGCACTCATTTCTTTTGATCTGCAAATTGGGAGAAGTTTTGTAAAGGGTTGGTTTTTGAGTATAAGCTATTGAGTAATAATAGATTTCTAACCAAAGTTCTCAAACTGATGGACAGAATACATAGATAGAGTTTGGTCGCGTGCAGATACTGGAATTTATTTTTTGAGCATAGGTGGCATGCTAAGGAATTGTGACATAATATTGGTGTATGCTTCTGCAGTTGAAGGCGCCTTCTCTTCTGATATGGTTATGTTGGGATACATTATATGAATTTCTAGGGATGACGAAAGAAATAAGTTTGAATTGTTCGATGCTGGAAGATGAAAAGAAAGAGGATGACTTCTGGAAAATGAATTCGAGGGACGGCGTGAATGTGGGTGGTTCTAGATTTAAACCAAGTGATTCGCTTCTTCCTGGTCTTATTGATGATGTTGCTCTAAATTGTTTAGCATGGGTTAGTAGATCAGATTATGCCTCATTATCGTGTATAAATAAAAGGTACAATAAGCTGATTAAGAGTGGGTATTTATATGGGTTAAGGAAACAGTTGGGAATTGAGGAGAAGGACCATTGGGTTTACTTGGTTTGTGATCTTAGGGGATGGGAGGCATTTAACACTACCAAAAAGAAATGGATGGCATTACCTAAGATGCCTTGTGATGAATGTTTTAACCATGCAGATAAGGAGTCATTGGCTGTGGACTGTGAACTGTTGGTTTTTGGTAGGGAATTGCTAGATTTTGCCATTTGGAAGTATAACCTGATTTTCCAGAGTTGGGTAAAGTGTCAGGGGATGAATCGCCCTCGTTGTTTGTTTGGTTCTGGTAGTCTTGGTTCAATTGCTATTGTTGCAGGCGGAAGTGATAAGAATGGAAATGTTCTAAAATCAGCTGAGTTGTATGACTCTGCTTCAGGTGTATGGGGGCTGTTACCTAATATGCATACACCACGGAGACTTTGCTCTGGCTTTTTTATGGATGGGAAATTCTACGTGATTGGTGGAATGTCAAGTCCTGCTGTTTCATTAACTTGTGGAGAGGAGTATGATCTGGAGAAAAGAACTTGGCGGAAAATAGAGGGCATGTACCCCTATGTTAACAGGGCTGCTCAGGCGCCACCACTTGTGGCGGTTGTAGATAACCAGTTATATGCAGTTGAGCATGTAACCAACATGGTGAAGAAATATGACAAGGAGAAGAATACCTGGAATGACTTGGGAAGGCTTCCGGTCCGGGCAGATTCTTCAAATGGCTGGGGCCTAGCTTTCAAGGCTTGTGGTAAGCAGATTCTGATTGTGGGCGGTCAAAGAGGTCCAGAAGGTGAAGCTGTTTTTCTGAACTCGTGGTGTCCTAAGTCAGGGGCTAGAAATGGAACCTTAGATTGGCAGGTTCTTGGCGTGAAGGAGCATGTTGGAGTGTTTGTGTACAATTGTGCTGTTATGGGATGTTGATATATATGGATTGACACAACAGAAGCTATTGGTATCTACAATCTGACTTTGCCTTGGAGGGTGCTTCCATGTGCATTCGTTTCATTTATCAAGTTGAATTGTTGCTGGAGGTTGGCTTTATTTAGTGGAGAATTTGGTTTTTATTTTTAACATGGCTTTAATTGGATGTGTTCCTCACTTTGTCCTGAGATCACTGAGTAGGTTTACATCTACATCTCCTGTCATCTTTTTCTTTTCCTCTTCAGTCGTAGCCATCTATGTAAAATAATAATTCATGGAGTTTTGTCGTTTAATGATTGGATGCTCATTGTTTTTCGCTTCATTCCTATAATCTCTCAAAATTTATGCCCAGTAGTCATGTATTGAAAATTATTCATTTGGTAGTATCCTACAGTTCATAGTCCAAATGGAAGGAGGCACGTGCCTTGGGTTTGACGCTTCAGTTATTTGGTGTTTAATTGCTGCAATTGTAACTCTTTATTGGCATATGTTAAGCAACTCATCCTTCATATCTGGCTCAAAATTGTCCGGTGAAAAGGGTACATAAACTTATTTGAGGTGACTAGCTTGCGGGTATTCTATAATGCTTGTGTGAATGAGGTCCCCTCAGGTTTATGATGTGTTTAAAAGCGTTGTCCGTGAGCTTCCAGCTGCACTTACTGTTTTGTGTTGTGTACGCTTGACCGATAATCTGGCCTAGTAGTTACTTCTGTTCCTTAATACGGAACATTAACAATAACCACTATTCAACTGGCCTACTATTTCCTCTTTTACTGCAGTCATGAGTTGTGACCACAATACTGAATGGGAAATAGCATTCTTAACTTATGTTTTCCATCTGTGCTTTTGAATCATAGCTCTCTAACGGAGATTCAATACTGTAAACCTCCTTTTTCTTCAGCGAACAAACTATGGGATCTCAAGAGACAAAACGAGGTGCTAGCAAAACGATTGCTTTGCTTACGGATTAAAGTACATGACTCGAAATCCATCTGCTCTCGGATTGACGCATTCATCTTTTCTGAGAGCCTGCGAAAGGTGACTAACCAGGGGACAAGCTATCAATAAAAGACTCTCATATAATATACACATCACTTGATAAGACAGTTTCCGTGGTTCAAGTCGTCAGAACTTTATCTGATACTTCCATTCATCAACCCATTTTTGTTAGCCTCCTGCTAGACCCTTGCCTGATTCATCAGAAGAAGCTAATGCTTGCTTGTCAAAATTCTCTGTTTTCGTGTATAAGTATCAACAAAAGCACGTCCAAATAGGGACTGAGGCCCCTTCTCCTATGTGCCTGGTGAAATGACTGGGCCGCTTGGATGCCGTACTTCTAATATTGACCTCTTTTCGGGTGGCTGAGGTTTCTGTGACAGTAAAAGGAATAAGAAAACTAGAAAGATAACTTCCTAGGGAATGTAAATAGCAGATGGATTAGCAAAGCTGGGTCTGTCTTGTTACTACCGCTTTCTTACTTGACAACGTTCCTCAGCACGCAGACCCTAGAGCAAAAGGAGGCAATGAAATTTCAGTCTCCCATTATTTAGTTCTCACTTTTTAGGCTTTTGCCTCTGTTTGTACCCGAAAACGAAAAAAAGAAAGAAAGGAAAGATCACCAAATCATCATAATCAAGCGAGTCTATGGACTTTGGACCAAGAGACATGATTGAGCCTAAACGACCATTAACTTACAACTCGCAGTCTAATTAGCGAGGTCGGCGAAATAATTGCAATAACTATAAACAGCGATAACATCTTTTAAGAACTTGATTTAAATAAAACCCAGAATATATACCTCTTGACCTCAGAAGAAATCAACTTTATAAAATTAGTAACAACATTCTTTCTGAGGATTAAGTAATAAATTATTTTTCTTTCTATTTTGGATAGTAATAGATGTAAATACAGTGAATAAGATTGAAAATAGTCAGAAGTCAGTAACTCTTATCCTTGTACCAGGGAGAGGAAGATGATCTTCACCTGAAGGACAAGTGAAAGCATATATTACAACAATGCACCTCTTCATAAGAAAATCCCAACCTAATATGCCGTATGCTGTCTTTCTCACGGAAACTAAATATTAATTCCGATTCTAATTAATAGCTGGGAATTGAATGAATAATCTTGATTGGGTGGTTACAAAAGACCAAGTCAAGAAGCCCGATGGAACTCGTTTTGGAATTTCCCTCTTTCCATTTTTGTTTGACTGTACAATGATGATGGATCTCTTGAGGATAAAGAGCCCCAACCATCGAACAACTTGTGGCTTGAGTTGGCATTTTCCACGCTGAATTATTACCTCTCAAATTAAGAACTTGTCGAGGCGAGTCATACAATAAACTCTAGGATCCAGTAATTGGTGGACCTAGCTTTTTATATGGCATTTAAGAAGAAATTGACTCCCGGCTCCCACCACCTCACTTATTTAGAAATTTTGGTACACTGGATTGGAAGATTTCTGCTGGACAGTGAGAAAAGGCCGAAGGGGATGTTACTACTACCAGAACATGAGTTATGCAATGGATCGGACTGAGATGTCGTTTTCCACCTTGCATGCTATATCCTATCCCTTTTTGATTTGGATGTTACTGTCGTTACCAGAATAATCCACTTCTTATATATCTCCGGCAGGAAATGTGATGTGTTGTTAATCTAGAGATACAATGCACAGAATCATCCACTTGTTTCTCATGCTTTGATCTGTCATGAGGAGTGGAGATTAGGTACAGCGCCTTCTGATTCATCAGTGCAACTTGAAACAACTTAACTTTGGTTAATTAACGATGAAATGCTAAATCAAGGTTGCTTTTTTGCACTGGCTGGTAACAGCTCACATGAAAGCGTAAGTGCGCCTCATCTCTAAACTCTTCATTTCCTTTCGCTCTTTTGTTTTATATTCTTCCACCTGCCAGTTGACATCTGACCTTTTCTATTCGCGTCTCCGTTGTTCCCTTTTTCAAAATGTTAGGCAAAATATCTAAAAAGAGGGTTTCTTGTTTTCCTATATTACAAACAGAATCAGTTACACTATATACCATATGCACCACCTTGGGAGTGTAAAAGCTTATTCGACCCTTAAAATATACATATATTGATATTTGCTTGCATAAGTTTGTCTCCAGATGTTCCATAAATTATTATGGGTGTTTTATTCTTTAGAAAAAGCTCTTTTAAAAATATCTTACATTCATATGAACTCAGTATCTCACGCTTAAATGAATCCTTGCACTAAAACCAGTCCCTTGTTTAAGTACTATTGCGTCCTGATCTTTCACAATACTACACTTAAAAACAGAGGAAATGGGAATGCATAGGGAGTGAATAAGACGAGAAAGGATGGGAGGTCATGAAATTTCTTGCATTGAAGACTTTGGAACACGTATGCATGTTACTGGTTGATGATGGATGACATTTGATCCGTGGAGGTGAGAATAATAATAAATGGCAATAATGACGGCATTACACGTCAGCCAAGTTAGGCTGTTATTTCCTTATCGTATGCCGTGTGAGTCGTAACCAAGAGCCATATATCCGAGTCGGTGAGTGCGACTCGCCTTCTGGTTGTGGCCCCAAACTGCTGTCCCAATTACGACCCCCTCAAAACCAATTCACAGCTGAATCCATATCCAAGTTTTTTTAAACATCAACAACCATCCAAGTCTCTGTTGATAACTCCCTATTGTTAATCTTGATCTTGTGCTTGTTTTTATCTATTTTTTGTGGTTCCTGGTTCGTAGATCTTGTGCATTTTGTGCATCTCATTTTGAAATTATGTTTTCATAAGTAAAAGTATTTAATAAAATTTAGAAATGTCACCGCTTTCTTTCCTTGCAAAAATTGACCTATGAAAGGCGTACGTGACGTCTCCATCTCACATAATTAAAGCGTTTGTTTGCCATATAATTTTTGGGGGCTTTTGGGGACGGAGAAAGTTGAATTCTTTGCTTCCTCACTTCGTGGCCACAAGCTAAGCCTAATAAGCATCTCTTCTAAAAAGCAAAAACTAAAAAGGTCCGTCTTTTCTCACAATTCAAGTCTCTGTCTTTGCAACAGTGCCGGGTTTTTTTTTTTTTTTTTAAAGACGAAATCCTTCCATTTATCCCTTTTTTTCTTTTTTTTTGCTTTGCTCAAGATCATCAGATAACTTAGTATAATCCAAAGTTCACGCGTTTGGATTTGGTGCCATGGTTTGAGGCGTCTCCTGCAGATGTCCGTTTCTGGTTAAAAGAATTGACTGGAAAACTACGTGCACAAACTACTTTTAGGTCGAGTTGAGAAAACTTGAAAAGTGAGGATGATGCAAAGAAAAATTGCTGGATAAAGGTGCTGTTATCATGCTTAATCATATTTCATGTTTGTTATTGAAGATTCCATCGATTAAAAGCACCATACGGAATTGGAGCTGGCATTTTGCTTTATCTTTCTCAAAGGCTTGGAGTTGATTTTCATTTTTCACCTCTCTCCGTTCCCCAGGGGTGTTGGGTTGAGGCCGTGAAGTATGAGCTAATCATATTTGCTCCATCAACGTTGGGTTAAATCATGCATACTCAGACTTGAAAGTGTATTAATGAAGACTAATGTCAAATATAAACATCATGTGAGGTTGGGCATTTTGCTTTAACCGTCCTTTTCGGAGAGACCTGAAATTTATTGGGCTTTTTATCGCTTTTCTCTGTTCGTTCAGCTGGCAGGTTGGCACCTGCTCCTTTTGCCAATGAAATGAATGGAGAAAGTCAGATTGAAGGAGCGGGGCCTTGAAATTAAAGTGCCTTACTGTATAATGTAACTCTGGTGGCTGGATAGTTGCCACGTTGATCACATTCATAATCCTACGTACATGCCGTGACAACGAGTGCACAAAAGCTTGTGACGTTGTTCTGCCCTCTAATAGTTGATTTCCCTGTTTTTCCTTTCACAAATATAAAACTCCTCCAGGTGATCACATTTTGGGTTTGGTGGGGATCAATAATTTGCGGCATTTAATTGCATAAAAACTCCTAATGGGAATCAGGAAAAAGACAAATTAGTATATTTAGTACTATTTGGCACTTCGGAGATACTCTTGCAGAGTCCGCGAGCGCCGAGCGGGGTACACTGAAATGCATGTGGAAGTTTGGAAGTACGCCATTCTCAACCGCTGAGCTGTGTCATTCATAAATGTGAAAACCTCACCTTGTGCCTAATCGATACGACTTGCTTCCTTCCTTCTCAAGAGCCTATTTTAACTCTCTCATCCTCCGTGTCTCTCGTTTCTTTCTTTGTGGGTGCGCGGGAGCGTGTGTCTGAACTAACGCACTAAAGAATAAGCAAGTGATAGAAGTAAGCTTGGTTGGTGCCTGCGAGGCCGAAAGGAGCGAACTTTATATGCTATTTCGGTTACTCTGGGGATTACGGATCAGGGACCTGATTTAACTCCACAAAATGAGTTCCGATGAAAAGGCTGTGAGTGAAGGACATCACTCTGCTTCGTGCCTAAGAACGGTTTCTCTTC